TTCACGGCCAGGTCGATGCCGTTGCTCTCCTGGGTCTCGGGGGTGTAGTCGTAGAGGAGACGGCAGAAGTCCAGCTTGGCCGGGTCGAGCGATGCTGGGCCTTCGGCTCCAACGCCCACGAGCTGGCGCCGCTTCGCCTCTTCCTCCTGAGATCGGGCCATGGTCTTGATGAGCTTGCCCATGAGGTAAGGGAGGCCAAAGAGGGCAATCAAAAACATGAAGAAAGGCTTCTTGGATGGCTTGGCGGGAACCGGTGAGCCATCCGGGAGTGTAGCAGCGGCGTGACCGCCGAGGAAAGCCGCAAAGGCAGCCGGGGTCAAGGAAGTCGCATCAGCTGGCGGAGGACGTCCTGTGAGCTTAGCGATCAATGTGCGGAACCACCGAATCAGGGTGAAGATGCCCAGGGCCGAGCCGAGTGTGTTTCGCAGGTTTCCAAATTGTTCCGCGACCGAGACCATTGCTAAAAAAGAGTCAACAGTGTCCATATATTTCTTCCAGGAGACTAACCAAAGAATGAACTGTGCGTAGCCATGTACGTGCTCTCGAGCATCTGGGCAAAGCCACCAAACGCACCGACGATACTCTCAATCATGACGAAAGTCGCCTGGGTGCTCTGCCCGAACGAGTTCGTCAGGCTGTTCGGATCATTAGGATCTTGTCCCGGCATGCCACCGTACATGCCTCCCATCCCTCCCATTCCCCCCATACCGCCCATGCCCCCGTACATGCCACCTCCGTACCCTCCGTAGCCGCCGCCGCCGTACATGGAGCCCATAGTGCCCATGGAGCCGAAGCGGGAGTAAGGTGAAGCCATGCCACCCATCCCGCCCATGCCGCCCATGCCTCCGTAGCTGGATCCGTACGCGCCTGTTCCAAGGCGTGAAGCTCCATATGGCGAGTTGTTAACTACGGAGTTGAGAGCGCTCGGACGGGAGGGAAGTTCGGGGGCGGTGGACGATGCGGGGTTGGCTGTAGAAGTCATCGCGGTCGAGGCAGCAGGGCTACCGGCGATAGGTGCTGTTGATAGTGCGTTTCCTGAGGAAGGAAGTTAGTTGTGGACACTGTGGATTGCGCTGACTCTGTGGCGCTAGGATATCGGCAATCGAGAAGACACTTACCAGCTGCACCTGCTCGCTCCCACGGTTTTGGTGGCGAAGGCGTCGCCATGGAGTTGGATATTAGCGGAATAGCATCGAGATACGATATACGTCTGTTCAGATGGATTCGCCGCGAGGCTGGGGGGTGAGCGAAGAGAGAAGATGGAAGAAAAGACGCATGTGGTGGAGAAGCCGAGGTCGGGGTTTGCCGAGAACACGGGGTATTACCTACAACTAGACAATATCCAGGTAGATCTTCTTCATAATTTTCATAAGCACGATCCTCTAATGCCTGGGTCTGTAATAAGCAGCGATGTCTAATTAACTAGCAGATTTTCTTGTCCATCCTGTTCTGTTCAGTCTGTCCCCTACCCGGTTCGTTCTTCCGCCTATACGGAAGAAATCTCTTCGGTGGCAAACGCATGTACCTGGGGGGCGACCGAAGTTTGAGATGGAGATGAGCGAAGTAGATTGAAGTAGATAAGTAGTCGAGTCATACTTATACATATCTAGACACCAGCAGACTTATTCACCCATATCTATATCTTAGCTTCAACCTGTAATTTGACTACATGGCCTCTCACTGAACATATAACGACTAATAGTTTGCTCTCTTCGCTCAGCAAAATAGCCTGAACATTAAGGAGTATATATTCGAGTACTCTGAAACAAAACCATTCAGACAAAGTCTATCAACGCCATAGCACAGAGCCATATGTACAAATGCCAATGCAAAGATGAAATACAGAACTCATAACTCGTCACGATTAGCATAGGCAGCAGGTTGAGTATGCGCACGCGGCTGCGGTGTCTTCAGCTTCCACATGCGAGGAGGCACCGGCAATCCGAGCCAGTAATTGTACAGCCGGATGAACTCCGACGTGCCGATTTGGTAACTGCGCGAGTCAGTCAGTCTATCCATAGACTATCCAATAACCAAATCAAGAGCAACTTACATTGTAAATGGGATGTCCAACCAAGACTGCCAGATATACCCAACCGTACCCCAGATCATATTCCACTCGGACATGAAATCCTCGACCCAGCCATCGTCTGGGCCAGGCGGTTTGCGCTCCCAGGGGTACCGCTCGGGCGCGGCGCCTCGGCCGTAGACATAATCGTCTTCATTATCTTCACCTTCGAAATAGAAGTTGTTATTGCCGTCGCTGAACACGCGTCTATTGTCGCCGAGGGCGTTGGCGTGGTGGGAGGAGGGTACGGCACCGTGGACAGGGAACATGTGGGTGGTGCCGGTCAGCAGGGCGCGCTGCATACTGCGCGAAGCAGCGATACTGTGCGAAATGCGGCCGAGGGTGTTGATGAGCGCGACCAGCTCGGTGCGGCGTAGGGGCGGGTTCTCGCCGTTCTTGGTTTCGTCGTAATCGAACAACACCTTGAGCGCGGTTCCGTACCCGTTTACCTGGAGCTTGCCCCAGAGGCGGCACTTGTCGCAGCCGACGCAGTCCATCAGGCGACTGACGTTGCGGAAGCGGTTGCGGAAGTCCTCTTTCAGGCCGAGGGCGTTGGCGTCCTGGAACATGATCTTCTCGTCGAAGATTTGAGGAAGCTCCGTCAAGGTCGCTGTTAGCTTGTTGACGCGCTTCTTGGTCTCGCGGTCTTGCACTGGGTCGCTGGCGCAGTATGTGTACCCGTCTAGGTGCTTGCGGAGTTTTGCCACGGCGCGCGAGACTAGTGCGTAGTTGAAGTACATGTTTGAGATGCGCTCCGGGTGGTCGAGGAGTCGATCCTTGAAGCATTGCACGTTGGGGTGCCACAGGCCTGTGGTTTGGTTGAGGTAGTCCCAGCACAGATGTGTCGAGATAGAAGCGTGCATGCCGCTCAGCAGCCGGTGGAAGACTCGCTTCTCCAAGCACTCGTTATCCAGCGACAGGCTTTCTACTCGCTGTGATTCCTTTTGGAGAACGTCGCGGAAGTCAGAGGCTGCCTGGAGGCCGCCTATTGGCACGTTGACCGACTGCTCCTCCAGCTCCTCAGCCACGGGCTTCAAGAAGCAGTTTTCGCGGTAGATGGCATCCCACACTTGGTTTGCACCCTCTCCAGAGTATCCCGTGAACCGCTCCGGATTATCCACCAAGCTCACATAGTCTCCTTTCCCGGCGGAACCCTCGTCCTCGGGGACACAGTAGTCTCGTTCCTCACATTCGTCGTCGTATTCCACCACACAACTCTCGCCGACATCTTCACCCAGCTCTCCCTGGAGCGGGCGTTCTTTCGGCCGCTCGGCTTGAATATTGCGAGGTGGGTGGTTCGCCTTGGGGCCCTCTAGTTTGCTGAGTTCTTCCGCGCGCCACGTCAGCGGAATATCCTCCTCTGAGTCGATAGTGTTCACGGCACAGGCAATGTTTCCACACATGCTATTGGCGTCGTTCCAGAAGGGACATTGTCTATTGAACAGGTTGAGGCGGTAGTAGGAGAAAAAGTCCGTTTCTTGTGTGAGGGAGTTGAGCGTCGTGAAAATCAGGTCGTTCATGCCGTTGATCTCGCCGTATGTGACACACGCATCCGATACCATGGCCGAAGGTTCGAGCTAGGAAATAAACGTCAGTCATCTGTATTGGTATCCTCGGTCCTAATAAGACTTACAGCACACTTGGTTGGGTCCAATGCAGGATTATGAACCGCGGCATGGCTCAAGCTAGCAAGTGCGAACACTGCTGCATAGAGCAGCCTCGCTGCAGACCGCATCTTGGTCTCCGACTGTGGTATATGATCGAGCACGTAGTCGTCCGGTTGTTGTATATGCAAGGTGGCGCAAAGGCCAGAGAATCAACGGGAGGGTCTGTCGTTGGAGGTAAGCCGTGAGGTCTACGCAGTGATAGCTTGGAAAGTCAAAAAAAAACAATCTCAATAATATTAGAAAAGAACAGAAGAATCAAGAATGTCAGTGTCTGCTGTCTGAAGTGGACAAGCTGGCCTCCAAATAATATCCGCGGAGATCGGCCGCCAAGAAATGATAATGGCCTGACTGATTCTGGCCTCTGATTGGCTGGCTTGTTGAGGTTCAACACATTTGGAAAGTGGCAAGATGGAAGTCGATGGACTAATGTGGTGCCATGTATAGTACGTTATATAGTAGGTTGCAAGGTTATATACATGTACCGTATAGGTGCAATCCTTCTTGGCCAACATGCCACTTTACAAACATATATTAACCAACTGTTTACTTCTGAGTAGACAAGTATACCACCAAGGTTGCTATTGAGAGATTCACAATAAGAATATACAGGCCATTCAGATCCCTGTTGAAGAATCCACCGATCTAACCATAACCGAAACGGCGCACAAGGTTCTTTGTCTTTGTACTAACGAAGTCACTTACTATTGGTAGATCGATACTAGACAGATATTGAATACGAGCAGGAACAAAGCCGTATTCGTTGAATAGCCTAATAACCCCTGTTTATTGCTCATCGATCTTGCACTTCTCACCGAAAACATCCTCGTATTGGTAGTAGTTGCAAACATGTCTCCAGTTATTTTATTTTAACCGACTAAGATACAACGTTCCATTATTTAGTGAATACCTGCTATGAATTCTATTAAGCTCAAGGCTCCAAAATTTGGAAGTACATAACACAAAATTTATTCAGGAATATTCCCAGAGGACTATGGCGACTAACTTCCAGGTATCAATGTCTTGTGTGTGTATAAAGCATTCTGATTCCATACTAGGCAATCGCCATTTTTTGTTTCCAAACGAGAGGATGCAATCCATAGTCGATCAAAACACAAGGGAGTATAAGAACCTACCAATGAAAGTCAGCATGATCAATAACCACAAAATCAACCAGAGTTCTTAGACTCAGTGGTAGTCAATACCAAAGCATTGTGATGATCCAGGGTCCAACTAAAAAGCTCAAACGGGCTAGATTGCCCACTATCTCAACGGCGAACCCCATCCCGACAGAACAGGTGTTTATTCAAAGTCTCCCCGGCATGGGCATTCAAAACAGATAATGAATCACCAGTATCAGGGGCTGGCACATTAGACGGCAACTGCATACCACGTTGGGGTGGCACAGACATATTCGATATACCGGGCAGAGCATGTCCGGGGAGGCTGTATGGAGTGAAAAAGGAACGAACAGCAGGAAGAGTCGGTAGTGGAACATGGTGAGTATCGCCGTTATGCATGATATTCGGGAGTTGAACGTCCATCTTAGGCATCGGCGGGGTTAGCCTAGCCTTCCCACGACGTCTCGGGCGAGCACCTCGTTGTGCAGGGCGATGGCGAGTCTGCCGTGCCACGCCGTAAATAGTATCGGTTGGAGCAGGCATAGTAATATGGACACGGACTGGCCCAGTCTCTGTCTTGCTGCACCCAGCGCCTGGTGTATAGTATGGTGGGCCATCAATATGCACGATATTGGCCGGGTGCTCGACAGGATTGCGAGTAGAGAGCTGGCGAGGGAAAGCTCTCATCTCGGTCAATTGCCAACTCGCTAGCAATTGCTCCAACTGGTCGGCTACACGGGTGTGGTCTCGCTGGTGGAGAAGGTCTGCAATGGCGTAGCCCAGCTGGGCTTGGGTATACCAGCAGGAGTACCCAAAGTTGGTACCGAAGTAATTTGGATGGCGCTGAGCGCGGGCAGTGAAGTACTGAGGTGGAGCATCGAGGACGATGTCGCTAGGTGGATAACTCAACCCCATCATCTCCCCGGCTCGTCGAAGGGTCGAGAGTTGGAGATTGAGTTGGCCCATCCGGCCAATGACTTCGTCTTGGTTTGTTGGATAGTTGTTTCTAAGGCCATGGATAATTTGCTGCATGAGGGTCCAGAAATTAGCATGCTCCTCGCGGAACTCGTCAGACGCCCTGCATCCTCCCATGGCTGCGGTTTGATAGATAGATTAGTGGTATGGTAGTGAATATTGATGCTAGCCTCGTGGGTTCGAGTGTGAGTGTGTTTGCTTTAAGCGAATGCAATCAATGTATAAATAGTCTGAAGATGGTCCTAATTGGTAGAAAACGAGTAGAATGTGGCTTGGTGGATGTGTTCGGTGACCTTGAGATTTATAGATTGTGCTGACCATGTGCAATTATAGCTTGGTTGTTGCTTTGGTTTCTCTTTTGTGCAGGGTCGTGAAATTTGTATAAAATATCATTTTTTGAGCTGATTCCCAGTGTTAACATGATCGCGTAGAAGTCCACCCCCCAATATATACATGTGAAAGAGTATATGTCAAACGATAAAACTACGGGTCACGAACCCGTGTAATACTGACCCTTAATCCTTTACCTCTTTCCTTTGGAACGCCAAAGCCATACTCCCTATGCGTGACGATGTTATCTGCCGTCACCCCATATAGATCCATATCGAATCTCCGCACCAGCGTGGAAATGACCAGGTACAACTCTGCCAAAGCCAAACTAGAATACGGGTAAGTCTGAGAACACAGGAGAGGAAGTTGAATTTATCTTACTGGTTACCCATGCATTGTCTAGAGCCTTTGCTGAAGGTGACAATCATATGCTCCAGGCGTTGGCCGGCCGCTTCAGCCCGGATCCAGCGCTCAGGGTCAAAGGCAAGCGGATTAGGGAACAGGTCCGAGTTTGTATGAACAAAATGAGATGATGTGCTCATCAGGGACTTTGAGACGCGTTAGCGTTGTTCATATCGGAGGGCATATGAGCTTACGTTTGGGGGAATTGTCCATTGCTTGTATACCAGTGCTTCATCGGGTGCACGTCGGGGAAGACGAGTTATGACGCCGGAGAGCCGAAGGCCCTCATTTATCGTTCCTCTCTGAACAAAGTCCATTAATTAGTCTCGTCTTTGCATACCATATTGCATTTCTCACCATGTAGGGCAGTTTTTCAAGTTCGGCCCATGTGCTAGATGGGTATTGCTCGAGCTCCTCGCGGAGCTTGAGAAGTAATGCCTTCTCATTGAGCAAGTGGAACATAACGATCTTCAATGTTCCCGTTGTAGTCTCTGTGCCTCCACCAATCAACGAAAAGCCTTCGTCCTGCAACCGATCCAATGTTCTTTCCTGCGCAGGCAAGGAGGGGTCACAGAGAGCACCAAACATTGTTGCTTGACCGTCCACTTTACCTCCATTTTGCAGTGCGACGTCGGCTTGAGCACGAACCAGTTTCTGTAGTCGCAAAATGTTGGCTGCATGGAACCAAAGCTTTTCAAGCACCTTATCAGGTATGAACTTTGAAAGATCCAAAAGGAAAGGGAAGAATTTCAACACATGAACTACAGATGCAAGACTTAATATGGAGTCTGCAACTTCATTATTGAAATTGACATCGTCCAAGTAGTCAAGACTCACACCATGCGCATACTCCGAGATGATGTCCGCAGTCAGAGCCGAAGACGCAGCATCCAGCTTTACAACTGTGCCTTGATCACAGGCTATGCTTAGCCGCTTGACAAGCTTTTGCACCTTGCCCTGGATCATGTCTTCTAAGCCTGCGATTGACTTTTTGGAGAAGTAGCTGTTCAGGATAGCTCGACGCGAACTGTGCAGGCCATGATCAACAGTCGCGAACATGGAAGTCGGTTGGCCTGCCAGTCGCACAAGTCTTGGGTCTTTGTCGCGCCTCCTGGTAGGGCCTGCATAGATTTCCGTATAGAAGTTTGGATCTGCCACATGAAGCTCGTGGGGTGTAATGCGCACGATAGGACCTCGAAAATGTTTAGTATTGAGATATGAGTGTCGAATAATGTTCTTACCATATTTCTCATGCATCCGCTCTATCTCCCACAGATACCGGCCACCCAGGACCACATTGTAATAAAATTCATAAAGACTTGTTAGGGCAGCTAGTTTCGGCCCCGGGAACTTGCTGAGAGGATGGAAATATAGTCGATAGATCACCACCCCAAAAACGAAGGAAAAGAAGCCAAACCACAGTAATAGCATGGCAGTGATGTGCTCGATGCTGAAAATTGAGCGGCTAAAGTTTGAGAGACAATTTACCTACCACAAGGGATTATGATGTATAAATCCGAATTGAGAATGTTGACCAATTGCTCTAGCTGGGATTGGATGCCGAGTACGGAGTACTCCGTCGAAGAGCTAACGATTGCTACGTGGCATACTTCCGAATCCCCACTGGTAGTTTAGCCACAGAATTGTAATTTTGTTCGGATCCCAAGTCAACGTGCCCCGGCGCTACTTTTGTGCAAGGATTAGAACGGCTTGCGCGACCGCGATGTGGGTATCCGTGGCGACAGGGGTCTGCCGTGAGGATTCCATGTGAAAATTAACAAAATATTTCTGAAACAGCCGGAACATTGCATATTGCAGCGTACAACTGTTGTAGGCGCTTCAATTCAACTTCGAGATGCTTGTGTGAGGCTCCTGGGCATGTTTAGTTAGTATCGGAGTGACCACGTAGACCAATGGGACACTACACAATCGTATCGGATTGGCATCGGGCCGACGATAATAACCCGACAAGTTTTGTTCTACACGAACTCGTCGAGATGCATATACACTAAGGCAGGTTGTGCATGTTTTGGGCCCTCCTAAGAGAACCTTCCGTTTTCCATTTTAGGCTCATCTCTTGCCGCTTTTTGTCAGCGGGTAGAACTGAGCACGCACCTGCTGACGTAATCACGCACGGGCTCAGGGCAGCAGGGCTAGATCGTCTTGGAATTGGTAGGCCTTTGAACCTCGGAAACAGTTGAACGTTGCCCGTTATGTAGATAGCATAAATTAACAAGGGACACATCAATATGTGATTGCCCAGGTGTAGCCTCGCGGTGAGATTCGCGGTACTAAAAATATATAGATCGTTAAAGTCCGCTGTTCGTGATGAGAGTGTTGTACACAAGCCTGCATTCCATGCTATTACCGTTATATGACAGGTATTGGCTAGAACAAAGACGCAAGCGATTGGTATAGAGAGATGGAGTTAAGTATTTCCGGCTCGCTTTCATCCGGCGTCAAGTCCAACTCCGCCCATATGCCTTGCCCATGCACTGCATCTGGCTGCATTGAATGCTGCGCATCACCCGTCCCGCAGCTGTCCGCCGACCATGTGACTGAGTCTGATACAACATCGCGTAAATCTTCCGCTGGTTTGCCCGCCCTGGAGACTAGCTCCTTGACTTCCTCGGCCGAGATAAGATGCATGGCTTCCATCAGGATATCAACACTTTGTCGGGATAAAGGACTGCCCGAACCTGCCACTTCCAGAGATTTAATGAGACGGGCCAGTCCTTGCTTGCATTCAGACAGCCGCGGGGAGGACAGTTCGGATAAGGCCAGCATCGCCAGCACCACACCCGCTGTGAAGCACTGGAAACAGAGTTGAACGGCAGAGGTGGTGTTCCCAAGAATAGATAAAATATTTTGCCATCGACAGATGCTCGACATGCGTAAGGCAGAAGTGAATAATTGGTCACGGATCGTGGTACCGGATCCATCTTGCGATTCGATCGGGCCATCATGTAATCGGACACTGAGGTATTTCCTACTGAGAAGGAATGGACGAAACAATATCAGGTGTTTGTAGTCATAAGACACCTGTAGTGTTAGTGCCTGCAGGGAAAAAAGACGCCGAGCAGGGTCGTCAATCATGCTCTGATCCTCCGAAAAGCTGCCAAGCTTGAGCTCTCGTGGGACGGTCTTTTCCCAATCCAGGAGACGGGCATAGGTGCGCTTGATATGAGGCAGGCGTATACTATGCGCCGTTGGATCGGCAATCGAGTACAGCTGTGCTTTGTAGCGGTTGTACGAGAATATCGTCACAGGCTTGAACGTGCCGTCTTCTCGTACCTCGTATGATCCGATCCCCGGGCAGGTGGCCATCGTATCATCTAGATCTTCTGGCTCGGAAACGATGAACTGTACGGTTGGGAGGACTGATGGTTTCCCGTACGCTTGTGCGATATACCTGGAGCGTGTTAAATTTCTTCATATGTGTATGGATAGTTGCTCAACTCACACATCGACCATGTAGATGGACCACCAAACTCGTCTGCGCACCTGTATTTCAATGAAATCTAGTGGTCCCCACGTGGCCTCGTCATGAAGGCTCATCGCCTGCGCCGCTCGCGATCCCAGTCCGGACATGGTAAAGGAAAGCTGCGTCTTGCGTTCTAGAAGGTACTCAATGGACATGAGAACGGCACAGGCGATTGATTCTAGAGTGGCTTCTTTTAGAATCCAGAATATATGATTCTCCACAGCCTCGATCCACGTTGCTTTGCACTGCTGAAGATTAAACTGTGGGCCCAGGGAATGTAGAGTATCGTGATTAGAAAAACGGGCTCCAAGAATTAAGACAGCCAGCAATAACAATAAGAATGACTTCTCAGAGGGGAGAATACCCTCTGTCTGAAGAATGGTGACCAGACGCGCCCGAAAGCTGGGCTCATGAAACATGGAAAGGTACCAGTGATTCGCTTGGAGATATGAGTCCAATAAGGCTAGAGTAACTGCTGTCGATGGGAGCTGCATCCCAATTATGGCCACAATTGGTATTCTCGATCCTTGAACCTGAGGCAGCTTGTTTGCTGGGGTTCCGTCAGGAATGGCATCGGAGTCCCGCAAGGTGGTCATATGATTGCGAAAAAGCTGACGGGGTGAGAACCGCAAAAGAAAGGGTTGACAGTAGACAATCTTACCTCCTGGGCATGACGAAAGGTTGAGTGGGCTCGCTCTCGCTGGCTGGTGACCAGATCCGTAGCATGGTTGCCACCGGGCACAACCTGTGTTTGTAGACCGGGGCTGGGATCGTGCGAAGGGGCCGTTTCCGAGAGCAGTGGACGATTCTCAGGCGGTTTGCTGCTTGGTGACTGAGCTCCGGTATTTTTTCTATAATTCTTAGAATATATATTATGCTATGATGCGTCCTACCCACCTTCGTCGCTTGTTTATAACATCCGTACATTCTGCCTCGGAGCGAATGCACAACTGGCAGGGTCGGGTATCATCACACTGGAAATAGTAAGTAGAATCCAAGATGACGACAAGAGAGGAAGACCTTGAGCTTTTGTCGTCGGCACCTTGCACAGGCGGATCGGACCCTGGAGGGCGCCATAGTGGCGGAATACAAGGGTTGGGATATTGGGAGGGATCTGACATCCGGTGGAGCTCGGAAGTCAAATATTTATGTCATAGGATGCCAAAGATCTACTCCTCGTACTGGTAAAAGGTATGTATGATTGACGGTGATCTATTCATCTCTATTTGCTATTGAGTTCAATATTTACTGACGGTTGTCTGAAGGTGGACAGGAATTGTCAATCGATTTGAGGTCACGTGATATATAACCTCGGCTCCACTTCACAGCTTCGCCTTGGCTCCCATCGCAGCCGCTCGCAATTCCTTTCGAAGGATTTTGCCAGTCGGGCTTTTGGGAATCTCAGGCACGAAGATAACACCACCCCTCAATTGCTTATGTGAGGCGAGGTTATATTTAATGAAGCTTTTAATGGCATCTTCTGTGATTTTGCCCTGATCAGCGACCACATACGCACGGGGAAGCTCATTTCCCGCCATGTTGACATCCGGAACTCCAATGACAGCGACATCCTGAATTAATGAATGCGATAGCAAAAGACCTTCCAACTCTGCTGGTGCGACTTGAAGACCCTTATACTTGATCATCTCCTGAAGCGCAACCGAAACTGTCAGAAATTACTTTATGCTTGAGGTATAGTCACTCACCTTCCTCCGGTCGATGATGAAGATCCTCCCATTTCGTCGCAATCCCAAGTCGCCAGTTTTGAACCATGCTCCGTCAGCTGTGAAGCTCGATCGCGTGGCTTCTTCGTTTTTCCAGTACCCCTTCGTAACCATTGGACCTTGGACGATAAACTCTCCCTCCTGTCCGTCTTCGACATCATTCTCGGCTTCGTCGACAATGCGCAGCCGAATATTCGGAAGCAGAGGCGAAAGACTTCCATCAGACTCGAACTCGTCCCAGGGAGAGATGGTGACACTACCAGTAGTCTCACTAAGACCCCAAGTTTGTGAAACGGGACATCCCAGTGTCCTGGATGCTCGCACGACCAAATCCGGCCCCATGGGCGCCGCACCAGATACCGCATGGATCATATGCTTAAACTGATCATTCACCAATGGGCTCTGTACCAGTAACTGGTAGATTGGTGGGACGGTAAAGAGGAACGTGGGACGATATGTCGCACAGTTCCAGAGAAAGCTTTTCGGCTCGAACTTGGACATCCAGTACACTGTTCCGCCGCATAGCACCGGTTGCAGGAAATAGCCCTGGCAGCCGGCGATGTGCGCTGCCGGCAGGTGTGCGACTGTCCGGTATTCTGGTGTGAAGCCTGGGGTTTGAGCTTTTTGTCTGGATATGTAGTCGCGGTAGGCGTAGAGGTTGACGACGGCAGCAGACACCAGATTCTCATGTGTAATTTCAACGCCTGAGTCTTGATTAGTTATGAAGCACAAAAGGAGCGGCGCAACTAACCTTTAGGCTCGCCAGTTGTTCCGCTGCTGTAAATCAGGCAGGCGGCCCTGTCATGCAGGATTTGTTGATCAGAAATCACCTCCCAAGCCAGCTGTCCGGTGGACCCGTGGAGCAGTTCCTTCCCGTGTCCATCTCGAAGACTTCTCTGTCCACGTGAACTCTCCAGAACCAACACCCTATCCAGTAGGATTCCACATTCAGCGGCAGCCTTGAGGGAAACTTTGATGCAGTCCTTGCTAGTAACAATGAGTCGAGATTCTCCGTGTTTCACCTGTCGTGCCAGCTCTCCAACCGTGAAACTCGAACTAGCCGCACTGTACACCCCGCCCGCGGCAATCACGCCGTAGAAAAGCGAGGGGAGAAGAACTTGTCCGGTCGAGATACAACAAACAGTATCGATCCCTGGGCCCTGGGCGCCAATCGCAAACTTCTCGCGTAGAATGTGGGCAATTCGCATGGTGTATTCGCGGCATTGTGATTTGGTGATACTGTTGCTGCTGTCTGCACCTTCCACGTGGAGGACAGTATCATCTTTTGCTAGCACGTCGGGGTGGTCTATTCATAGTTAGAAACTGTATGTCTCGATAAATGTAGACTTCTCACTAAAGACAAGGGATAGGAGGTCTGTATTGGGTATAGTATAGTCCTTCACAGGATTGTAGATAGTGCAAGAAGACATTGTTGCGGATCGAAGAAGTGGAAGTAAAACAGTTATCTAGCACATGCATATGAAGACAATGATTTACTTTATGTTCTACGTGGAACTGACTCTGGAATTACCAGCTGGATTATATCCGGTGGAATAGATATGGTATACCCAAATTGTGGAGACAGAGCTCCTCTCTAACCAATGGGATTCAAGATACATCCAGTGGAAGCCAGATATCCGGTGGAACTGCAATATCAAAAACAAGTCCCACATGGGGAACCTCGGTACTGATGGACACTATCCGGTGCTTATATAGTGTGCACCCCCAACTTTATTTCCCCGCAAATACGAATTGAACAAGCAAAATGGTACACTCGACCGGCAGAAAACCCTCATCGTCTACGGATGGCTTCTTCCAATCCATCCCCACTGTTCCCCCAGCATATACCTTTGTCAACGATGGGTCCGCAAACTCAAGCTCCCTGGCTGCTTCGGATGATATAGCTCTCGCGAGGATTCTCAATCTCTACCTGCCACGGGACTCCCCCGTTGGTGTCTCAGTTCACAACCTATCGCGTCGTGCACTGCATCCGGTTATCCTGAACTTGGCCACCGATGCCGAGGTGAACCAGCCCATCATCCGACCACTTAGTACCTTCGGCATCCAGAATAGTGTCGACCCGTTAATCACCGGAGAAGGGTGGAGAAAGCTGACAGCCATCGCACAAGAGGAGGGCTTGGTTGCAGTCGCCTACAAGAAGAGCAATGAACAATGGAATCGACGCGTGCAACAATTCGCAATGAATCATGTCTGGTCACCCAGTGCTGCGATGACGGGGTGTCCTGGCTCGATGACGGATGGAGCGGCCAAATTGTTGGCGGCACGGCTGGACGACGTGGACGGTGATCAGCCCGGCCGCCGCGCGGTGTTGCAAGAAGCATACAGACGTCTTGTATCAGATATTCCCGGTGAGGCCTGGACAACAGGACAATGGATGACGGAGAGAACGGGCGGCAGTGATGTCCGGGAAACGGAAACACTGGCGTGGCGGTTGACGACAGAAGAAATCTCGCGAGATGTCGAACAGGGACGAGATGTGGATGCTCATGGATTGCAACTGGGCCCGTGGCGCATCGACGGATTCAAGTGGTTCAGCAGTGCCACCGACTCCGACATGGCCATGCTTCTTGCGCAGACCGAGAAAGGTCTCAGTCTCTTCCTTGCACCCATGCGGCGCCGCTCCGGAAAGAACAGTGACGCGAGCGAGCTGAACGGCATTCGGATCCAGCGTTTGAAGAGCAAGTTGGGCACCAAGTCCCTACCCACAGCGGAGTTGGAGTTGAAGGGGGTTCGTGGTTGGCTGGTGGGAGAGGAAGGCAAGGGAGTCAATGCCATCTCGACCGTTCTCAATATCACCCGACTCTACTGTGCAGGTGTATCAGCAGCAGGTTGGGGCCGTGGACTATCCATTTGCCGGGCGTACACTCGCGTCCGCAAGACGCGCGGAGCGCTTCTGCAGGATAATGTGCAGCATGTGCGGTGGATGGCGGACGAGACGGTCAATTACTCTGCGGCAATGCACTTGGCATTCTTCGGGGTCGCACTGCAGGGTACCATGGAGCAGAGTTGGGACTCCATGGTCCGCAGTACCAAAGCTGCTGGACTTATCCCGCATGATCCTGCCAAGGCTGCCACTCTCCTGCGTCTGATAACACCCGCCTTGAAGGCCACTGTTAGTGTGAACGCGGTTCATGGACTTCGGGCCTGCATGGAATGCCTGGGTGGGGTTGGATACTGCGAAAATAATGAAGATGGCGGTATTCTGAACATCGCCAAGATATTCCGAGACACCACTGTCAATGCCATCTGGGAGGGCACAGTCAGTGTTATGGCGGAGGATGTTATTCGAGTCCTTACCGACAAACGGTTGCAGGGTAAGAAGTCGGCAGGCTCAGTTTTGGTTGAATGGACAAAGGATATTTTGAAAGGCTGCCAATCGAGGTTCGCCGAGGAACGCGCTAGTGTGGAAGGAAGACTAAACGCTCTGCTCGAAATTACACAGAGTACCAACAGGGACGAACTCCTGTGGCGCGACAGGGAGATCCTGCAACATATTGCCACTATAGTGTCCTCATGTTTGGTCATTTACGATGCATCCTCCGATGACGATGAGCGTGCGACACAGATAGCATCCAGGTGGGTGCGCTCACAAGCACTTGCAGGTACTAAAGGTGCCTTGAAGTCCTCTTGGCAGCATGAGTCTGCCATTGATCGATTGATCTTTTTGGGCGAATCCACGTCGGTCTCCCGCTCGGCGAAGATTTGATTACTATGTATTGATAATTGATGGAATCATGAACCGGCCTTTTGGCTTGTCTATATCAAACAGAATGATGGCCCTTGTACGGAGTACTCCGTCCTCCGTAAATCGATATCGAGACGCTAATCCATTCTGGGTATAGTCTGAAATCACTAAGCATCCCACACGTGACTGACCCCTCGTGCTGACATCTCCTCCACCTCGGGAACTCGTAAAAGCAGCGGCAGCTCAGATAGGAAACCTCAAGGAAGATCCTGTCTAGATGCAGATGTACTTTTTACTACTCCATACTCCATCTGGGCTATTACGGGAATCTTTCAATCTTCCCGGCTCTCATCTCCACCATCTCCACATTTCTCGCCCTGTAACTCGCCAAATTAGAGCGTACAAGCGCCGACCAAGGCGTGGCTCGTGGCGTCGGCCGTTTCGCAAAGGTCCCTCCGATCCTGCCGGTTGTAAATAGCCCAGATAACGAGCAAAAGACTCCACGATGTACTAACGTGCTGGTTTCTTATTGGTGCGACCCGTTTGCACGAAGTGCACTAAAAGTAACGGCCCCCAACCGAGATTATGATTTTCAATGCTCCTTTCGCTGTGGATATCTCGCTTGGCATAGCTCTCATTTAATGGCATGGCGTGCTGTCCTTGATAGCAACAAGTTAGATTCGCACTCAAATAGGCAAGAGTAAACGTAAAAGGTAGATGATCGTCACTCGAATTTGTGCGCGAGTCAACTGCTCGGTATCTATCGAGATAGGAGCCTCGGATGAAAACGTGCTTTAGATTTACTTCTAGTGGAGAACATAGTTGGTTCTTGTCTCACTCATGTTGTATGTGTCAAGGCGGAGCCAATTGGTGTCATTGGTTGCTAGACACGTTGATTATTGTGGGACTTGTCCGGTGCAAAGTGGTAGCCTCCCTTGCGCGTACTTCGTATATCGTACGGTAGAAACGAAAGAACCGGCATCGGAAGAGGACATTTATAGTGCCGGGCTAAACTAGCGCAGCTGTCTTAGCAAGGGTGGTTTACTTTTCTAATTCGATTATTTATACCACCCGGGCCCCCTCGGCTGTTGCATGTGCATCGTGCAGCTCGGTATTTTCTCGAATCACAAAGCATCATCGAACATGGGAGAAACAATAGCCGACGTGTATGCGGAGAGCATTGATCCCGAGATCTACGCCAATAATCCGGCATACTCCTCTCTCTTTACCCCATATATTCACAAGCAAACGATAATTGCCGATCACGTTTCAGTACAATGCCACATAGACCTAAATGGAATTGATGCCGTTGGGTCGAAGTTCGGCAATCTCAATGCACACGCGGGTAATTTTACTTCACTGTGTGCGCCTAACTGCCTACCCGAAAGACTTGCGCTTGTCGCTTACACCGTGGAATATGCATTCCTTCACGATGGTACGTGGGAATAAGTTACTCTATATTCCGCAACTAACATCGAGTCAGATGAAACCGATAATGCCGCTGATCAAGAAGCTGTATGATAAATCATTCTATGTATGCGGATCAAGAAACTGACGCGCGATTTAGTTGTTGCTCGAAAACAAAATGCTTCACCAGGCTATTAATCAGAGCAGTATGACTTCTGTATCGAACAGGGTTTCAGCTAAAGCACAACGCAAATCCGAGGTCCAGGCCAAGATCGCGGCCGAGTACCTGCGTCTGGATCCCGTGTTCGGCGAATTTTTCCTTAAAGCGTGGCAAACATTCACTGCCTCGGTACAGGACGTGAGAAGTCTTGAATTTCCCAGTCTGGATGACTACCTGGAGTTCAGAATTGTTGATGCAGCAGCAGAGTATGTCACCCCATTCCGAATTTGAGAACTCAATCTGATTATTCCAAGCTGGACACTTTATAATTTCCGATGGGGATCAGGCATCACGCTCACCCCCGAGGAAGAAAAAATCGCTGATCCTATGAGCTACGTCGCATATGCGGAATTATGCCTGGTAAATGACTTGTTCTCTTGGGACAAGGAGTACGACGCTCATGTCAAAAGCAATGGCGAGGTGCCGTTAGTCAATGCGGTACATATTGTCGCAGTTACACAGGGTCTGACACACTGCGCAGCAAAGGCGGTTGTCCAGGCGGAGATCCGAGCCCACGAAGAGCGATTTTGTTACTTGAAAGAACAGTACAAGGCGACGGCTAGCCCATCAGATTCAGTTCTCAACTGGCTGAAACTGCTCGAGCATTCAATGGCTGGAAACTGGGTTTGGAGTCTGTGTGTTCCTCGTTACTTCAAGGTTGAACGGAACCCGTATAAAGACCACCTTGAGAAGTTTGGCAGTGAGGCTGTGCGAGTTCTCACGCCTGAAGAGCACCTTCGTGACTCAAAACAAGAGACCAATGGCACTAAAGAGATTGAACTGCAAGAACCTAAGTCAAGTGAGTATAACACGCTATCTCAGTTGGTTTCAATCCGGCAAACGAGACTAACAATATTCCAGACAACACAGCAGAGAGTGATGTCCTGGCGAAGTACACATCTGGGTATCCCACAGTCGATGAGGTAAGTTTCTATCCGCAAGAGTCGCTGGAGACAAGGAGACCTAAGTGCTAACTAGAAATCCACAGCCCGTGTTAAATCCCTACACATACATCAACTCTCTGCCTTCTAAGAACGTGAGACAGACATTGATAGCGGCTCTGAACTCATGGTACAAGGTGCCCGTGAAGTCCCTCCTGATCATAGAGGGTGCAGTCAACTTCCTACACAACTCATCATTATTGTAACTGGGCCCATTTCAACCTGAAATTGTTTCTCCTCACTGACCTCTAAATAGGCTCGATGACATCCAGGACGGAAGTGTCCTCAGACGCGGAAGGCCAGTGGCGCATCAGATATTTGGCGTTGGCCAAACCATCAATACTGCGACATACCTGATGAACGAAGCCTTGTATCTCGTACAGATGCTTTCCCCGTCTGCGGTTTCAGTTTACACAGGTAGGTTATCTCTACATATTTGCTTGCGAGAATTTTCGGACTGACAGTACCAGATGAAATGCGTAACCTGCAGCTTGGACAGGGACGCGATCTCCACTGGAGCTACCATACGCATGTACCGACCCCTGCGCAGTATATAAGCATGGTTGACGGCAGTACGTATTGGCGCATCCATCTTTATACACCAATTTACTGACCATTACACAGAGACTGGCGGTTTATTCCGTCTTATTAGCCGTCTGATGAGATCCGAGGCGACGGTGAATAGGTATTTTAACGCTCATCATACAAGAAAATGAGTTCCAGGCTAATATATCCTAGGGACCTTGATATAAGTCAGTTTGCGACGTTGCTTGGAAGACATTTCCAGATCCGAGATGACTACCAGAACCTTCAAAGCGAAGATGTACCAAATCCCCTACTATGTTTCTAAAGACGGATCTGAGCTAACATGTTGCTTTACTTTAGTACACAAAAAACAAGGGCTTCTGTGATGATCTCGATGAAGGGAAGCTATCTTTCCCAATCATCTTATCAATGCAATCGCCAGGATTCTCCAACACAGCGTTGTCAAGCGTGTTTAAGGGTTCCCAAAAAGGAGATACCCTGTCACCTGAGATGAAGCAGTACATACTGGAGGAGATCACTGCTCGGGGGGCATTCTCTGAAACGAAGGCCGTGTTGAGAAAATTGCACATCGAACTGCTACGCCTGCTTATGGAGACCGAAAAGAAAGCTGGTGGCATAGAGAATTGGGCGCTGCGCCTGTTGATTATGAAGCTGGACCTCGGGGATGAAAAGAAAAAGGAGGCGCACAAGAGTGACTCTGCTTGGAAGGTCAACCAGCGACGAGCGTGGAAAGGAAGTCAGAAGAATGGGCGGCCTATTGATAAGGCTTGCTTTTTGAGAGCTATGGAAGAGGCGTCTCAGAAGTGAGTCTCGGTCGCGGATAAATCTTACCTAGAGGTGCACGAAGATACGAAATAAATTGTACAGACGTTTTCGAATTATTTCTCTCTTCGTACTGTAGTCGTAACTTGGGATAACTGAAGACAGTATTGTCTACTCAATACATTCTTAATGTCCTTTTCTATAGGAATATGTTCATCGTGAAGCGATTATTTCTTGGTCTGTATATACGGGCAATCCAACAAGGTTTGCATGTTTGTTGGATTTGCTGTCGGATCCTGGTGACCTGCATGAAAAGCCCATAGCAACCCTAACCCCAAGTGAAAGTCTAGTTCCCTTTATAGGAATTGGCCAATGATCTCCCTAGTAAGTTCCACCGTCTCATCGATCCGATTCAGGAATGGCGCGCAGTGACTGGACACCAGTTCCCTGACGATCCACGCCTGCTGCGTGGAGGCCATCATGCCGAATTGCGCCTCCTTTGGTACCGGACGATCCTCAGTGGTGACAATGAACGCCAAACGCCCTCGGAACGCTTCGTCCGCCCAGGCCGGATGGGGCTGAGGCGAATTGAAAGCCAAGGTCGCATGCGGTCTGAGTCCTGCGATCAGGGACTGGGCCAAGACCGCATCAACATCGGCAGCAAAGATTTTAATGGGGTCATCCACGACAGCAAGATTCGCCGAGGGCTGCAACATGTCAGCAAGTTGCATTATATAACTATAGTGGAGACGAAGAGGTCCTCATACCTGATCGTGTAAGACCCAGGGGGGCAGGATTCTACCCTGGGCACCGGCACAACTAATACCCTCGGGTACGATGAAAGCGCCCAGGTACAGCAGTCCAATAACACCACCTGCTTTGCCCTCTTGAGCCCGCTGCGCTTTGGCTAGCCCGGTAGCCGCGGCGGAGCCAGGCATGCCGCCATAGGAATACAAAAAGAGCACAACATCTTTGCCCTGATCCTCCACGAGAGACTGGAGAATGGTCGTGATAGCATCGGCGTCGGCTTGGCAATCAGTGACCAACGGGTCCGAGGAGTCTACAGAGGGGTACCCCGCGTAGTGGACATCGTAGCCAGCGACCGTGAGAGCTTGGAGAAATGGTTCGTAGAACGTCCGAGTGGTCCAAGCACCAGGAACAAAGAGGATGGTGGTCATCGTGTGAATGAGATATGTAACTGTTATATGCCGACGTGCAGACAACTATGTTGTACCAACTAGCGAGTATCTCCTCATTTTCAACTGCAGGGGATCGCCCAACGTGCATGAATTTTCCGGTTTAATCGACCAATACCATATTGCCCAAGACCTCGACCACTCTGATTGGATCTCCAATTAGCGACAAGCATTGTGGTATTGTTAGCATCCTCACCCCCAACCCTTGCAATCGTACTTTATAATCCTCTTCGAAACATAATCTGATACATACATAGGGTGTGGAAAACAGGGCTTCCCGTCCGCTCAGCCGTACTTAAGCCACATGTTATACACAGGCTACAGCCAATGCTCAATTCGCCCTCAGCACTTGAGCGGCACTCCAGGGTGAGCACTGGTGATATGGGTGAGAAGTCTTGAGACTGGGGTGAGAGAGGTGAGAACGGGGTGACAATTCTCACCCTTGGGGTGATATAGGCCAACTCCGAACTTATGCCCATCCTAAGAACAAATATAAATCCAAACCCCGAGACCCTTCTCTTGATCCTACCATGATTTTCTTTCAATTTCTTGACTATCCAAAATATGTTCTCCGAAAAGAATATCCCGAAAGCACTCCAGGAGCGTCTCGCACGTGCGATATCACGTGGCTTTACACGTGAATATCAAATCGAGAAGGAAAAAGAGGGTAATACTATCTGCGATTCCTAAGCAATGCCACGCTAACTTGGCTATCTGGGTTCTTACTACTTAGCGAGAGTAACCCTGGAAGAGACTGAGCATCGCCTCGCGGGCCTCGGTATGTCGCATGTACTCAGCCACCTGCGGTGGTGTCTTTTTTTACCGATCCTCCTGCCAACAGACTGGACAGTGGGGTCCGCGCCAGCCTCTAACAGCATCTTAACGATTTCCACGTTGCTGAGCCTCGCAGCGAGGTGTAGAGGTGTACCCCAATCGTCGGAAGTCCCATTCGGGTCTACGCCCCTGTCAAGCAGAAAGCGGGTCTTCAGTTCGCGATGCTGTACATGCGGTCCGAGAGAGTAGAAGAGCAGATTTGATTCCAATTTCGCGCCGTATTCGAGATATAGCTCGATCATAGAGGTATCTGGTTCCCGGGTGCTCACAATAACACGGCCGAGGGGAGAGACTCCTCTTGGTCCGCGGAGGTTAGGGTCCGCGCCGGCAGAGAGCAATACAGTAGCAGCCGATAGATTAAAAAACTGGCTATACCAACAGGGGCGGAGTTAGTTATCTAAGATATCTTATCTCTTCTTTATTAGGGCGTAACATACGGGAGTATAGGTTCGCCGTTAGAAATCCTTGCATTGGGGTCCAAGCCGTTGTCTAGGAAGAGGCGGACAATCCGAGGGTCCTGGTGGAAGTTTATTCCGTGGAGAGAGCCCGTTGCCTCTGCTGAGACGCGAGCACCGGCGTCAAAAAGGGTAGCCACAGCATCAGCGTGTGACATTAGTGTTGCGTGTCTGAGTCCGGCGTCAAGGTCTTCAACAGTTAAGCGGCCAGTGGCGATTGCTTCATGGATTTTTGGCATGTCGCCATCGGAGCACGCATCGTGAAATTCTCGCTGAAAGGCGTTAGGCTCCATTGTAGCAGGTTGCTGGATATCCGGATCAAATGATAGATGGAGATGGTTGGATGAGGTTGTATTTGTGCCTTCCAGTGCCCCCCACCTACGCAGGGGCATAGGGGCCAGGGTTACTTTCGGATTTAATGCAATGCATTGCGGCCTTGGTGCTTGTATTTGGCCTGGATTCGGCCTGATGTTGGCCTTCAACCTGACCGCTTTCAGGCCCTAGGACACAGTGTATTGTAAGGCTTTCGGCACGGAATAACTAGTACGCCGGACAAACCCTTACCAACTCGTTAAGGTAAACATCCGTTGCCAAGGTAATACCTACTCCCGCGCGCTGTCTACCGGGACCGATCCCCCTCTTCCTTTCCTTTTTCTCTCTTCCTTTTCCTCTCTTCCTTTTTCCTTGACTCTCCTCCTGATCTACCTTCATTTAGGAATCTATATATTTTTTTTTCTCTCAAGAGATATATATAATTGATTGGATCGCTATTACCTCTGAATTCAGGTCCAAACCGCCCAAGAATTATGCGATGTATGGATTTGTATGGCAGAAATAGCTTCATATTCATATGGCTAGGTCTCCGTAATTGTAATTCAGGTATCTTGATTTTTCTGCCATACCAAATTAAGGCATTAAGGCACCAATGTATGCATTAAATCCGAAAGTAACCCTGGCCCCTATGCGTACCCCGCCTACTAAGTCACTTGCTGCACTAGTAGAGAACTAGTGTTACTGAGATTACCTATGGAGCCCAATTTACGAAGGCAGTCCCTTACTGCTAGCTTGGGGGCCGAAGGGTTCTCCCATTATACGATTGTACGATATCCAACGCTAGTATTCTAGTCATTAATAGTCTTTGACAAAATGGGTTATTTTTCTATTTTTCGACCCAACTTTTTGCACAAAATCATAAACAAATCATAAAGAGTCCTGAAAAGACAAGTTTCCTTCCTGATTAGGAATTTTATGCAAAAAGTTGGGTTGAAAATGGGTCTAAGATGGGTCCTGGTTGTGTCAAAGCGTAGTCTAGTCATTAATCCGTCGGAGGATTGTACGTTTTTGTACGAAACCCTTATTTGAAGTAAATTGGAGGGATGAGAGGTATACGCAGATTTTCTTGAAAGGTATGGCTATATAATGCGTAATGTCTCATCAATTCAAGTAATAGCCATACTCATTGTACCGTCTATTGGAAGTAATGGCGCCCGCTTCATCTCTCGTGCTCTTATTCTCTTTACTCTCTTATTGCAATGGTGCCGATGATTACTTCTTCGTTGGCGATCTCGCCTAATATACTACCAATGGAGTTTGTCCCCCTTGCAATTTATCCCGGTTTAAAGCAGGGAAACTGTCTAACACGTTTTAGGTCCCAACTCCTACTCTCTCAGGAGATGTGCTCGATGCCACTGCAGTGGGCGACCCAGCCGAAAACGGGATCATACTGTTTCTGTCTCCAGACCTGGAGGACAGCATGGATAGTAAGTGTGCAGAACTTGACTCGGCGTGTTACCAAGCCGTTATAGACGTCCTCGAAGACTCGGATAGGGTACTTATAACTCGCAGCCTTGAAAAGCGCCAAGTGGGCGTGCTAGCAGCCGCGGCTGTTGCCGTTGCAGGGATACTATTCCCAATGTTCTACCGCTTAGATTCGAACCATGATATTCCAGTACCCCTAGTGATTCCTGCGGCTCACATAGAAGATGCCTTCAATTTGGAAACAGCCACTGCTATTGTTGTTGTCACTGAAGGGGGATCTGGGGTGACGGTCACTGCCCCGCCGGACCAGGATAAAGCTTACGGGTAAGGGTCCCTACCTTTACCTAGACTAGAACCCTCAATTAACAATATCCTAGTCCTTCAGCTGTGGTTACGACCCTTGCAAGTGCCGTATATGGCGGAAGCGCAGGAGACGTGGAAATCCAGCTCGACTCAGATGTCGCAAAGCACCTACAGTCGCTACTCTCCGGCTCAGACAACAATAACTGCGACGTGGGCGATGACTTCTTCAACATCCACACACGCGATTTAGCCATGAGCAGTGTTACATGTGGCGCGCAGAGTATCCTCGCTGACGGAATCAATGGCGATGGATTTCCTGACTGGCTTCTTATGGCTCCGACACAACTCCTATGGACAAACGCTGAGGTCGTTGCCGGGGTATAGACGGTTATCACCTGGGCTTTGAACTCTGCAACGAGACTGAACAGGGCCATTGTCCCCAACGAGCTCCGAGGTTTGGCTATTGGTGCTTTTGCCTTCTCGTACATCTACTATAGTAACGGCAAGATTGCGACCAGCAATATTATCCCTGGCGCTTCGCTACAGGGTGGGGCTACCGCTACTGAGTGTCCCCTACAAACGGCTGTACAATGCGGCGCTAACTGTGGTGTGCATTTATGGGCGCCCCAATTCGACTGTACCACGACCTGCTCTACCGTCACTAGCTGCGACGCACAATCGACGATCACGACAACAGCTACGCGCATTTTCGCCGCCGGCTCTGTACCAACGAGTTCCCCTTCCGGAGGCCAAGGGCAGCAGATCGCAATGGCCTCGTATATCAACCCGCTCGCTGATCCGGCGGCCTGGAATCACTTAATCGGGTATGACTCAGACAAGATGCCTATCCTGGTCGCCAACGTGGTCAATGGGCCCGACTCGGCTGTCGACTCAGACTGGCAAGACGTCATCACTCGAGGTGCAGGCTCTGGTAAGATCGTGCTCGGTTACGTGCGCACCGGTTATCTTGGTGTGAGCACTCAGGCATTCAAGATACGATTGGGCTCCGGAGATCTAGCCGACTGGACTGCACATATCGAGGAGGACGTTGACATGTGGTACACGCTCTACGGTGAAAACATCGGCGGTATCTTCTTCGACGAAGGATGGCCTGAATGTGGCGCCGACAACAAATACGCGGATCTCTACAAGTATATCAACGACTATACCAAACGCACACACCCTGGCGCCTATACAGTCCTCAACCCTGGATCACCGATGGCGGCTTGCTTCGAGGATACCATGGACACCCTGCTTACATTTGAGCTGTCCTATGATGCGTACAAGAACTCATACACGCCTAACGACTGGACGCCCAAGGACCCGCGTAAGCTCTGGCATATCGTCTATAACGTTCCCGAGTCCGCAGTGATCGAGGTCGCTAACTTGGCCAAAGAACGTGGAGTCTCGTTCATCGAAATCACAGACGACGTGATGCCTAACCCGTACGATACCCTATCTGCCGACTCCTACATTCAGAAAATGCTTGACGCAGTTGACGGCGGGTCACTGCTCAACGAGGACCCCTCATCATGGCCGACTAGCTCTAGTGCCGGCGCCGTGGATACACTTACAGTGGAAAACCCGGACTACAGCTCTGCGAAGCTATCTTGGACAGCGGCTAGCAATGCGGTCGGATACCACGTCTACTCAGGAGACAGCATCCTCGTAAGCGTCCCCAGCTCAATGACAGCCATCACTATCGGCGGCCTGCAATCCGGCACAAGCTACACCCTCCACGTAACCGCCATTGGGGGTGCGGGGAAGCTAGGCACCGCCTCGAACTCCGTCACAGTCAAGACAAAGGCCCTACCCGGCGGCGAAACAATCACCAACTACAAGTCCTCCCCTAGCGCCACCTCAAGCACATTCACCGCAGACATCCTGGTCCCCTACGCCTTCATCCGCCTATACCTCTGGGACTCCGTCGGCTGTGACTTCGACACGGACCCCGGGTGGAGCGTCAACTTCAAGGTTGACCAGTACGTCTGCACCAAGTACATGGTCGAAGGCACAACGCTGTACAAATACAGCGGCACTGTCCCCGAGGGGTCCACGGCGCCACCCTGGGCTTGGACTTCCATGGGATCCATTACCCTTGAGACAACTGATTACACAAACACGTGGACCCTGCCTATCGGAACAGACACCATCGACACAAAGAAATTCGTCATCCAAGCGCAGGGATATAACCCCCTGATCAACGTCATCCAGCCAGACCCCGACCCCTACAGCTGTAAGGGGTCATCCATGTGTACGACGCCGGATTTGTTAAGCTGGTGCGACCATGCCGTGAATTATCTACATCGGGATGATTCGCAGTTTTATAAAGCCGGGTAAGCTCCTTCTTTTGCTCCGTATCGTTTTAAGACCGCTTGCTAACTCATTAACAGATCCGGCGCCCTGAGCGGAAACTGCTGGGGTGATCAGACCCGTGGCTGCGGCGTCTTCATTGAAGGTGACTCAACCTGCACGGTCAGCGGAAATGATTTGTGGGACGCGTATCAGAATATTCGCGATATCGGGGGCTGCAAGAAGTGCGGCTCGTTTGAGAGGAGTGACGGGTGTACGCTTAAGATTGACTATGTTTATGGGTGTGATAACCATGCTGCTAAAATGGCGGTTATGAATCTCGTGGAGGCGCAGAACGCTACTCGGAGTGTGTCTATCGATCAGCTTGGGCCTGGGCTGGTGTATGGGAGCTAGTTTGAGAGTTTTTTCAAGATTGTATTTAGATGAAAAGTAATATGGTTCATAGACTGAACCTTAGACGAATAGATCTCACTGTGAAACTGTTCTAACCTTGTTCGACCACGATGATATTACTCATTGACTCAGCTCTCTGAAGCACATGAGACCATCACTTATGTATTTTTTTATGATTCTACCCCCCGTCATCTAAATAACAGAGCTGACACACATCGTTGTAGTGTGAGTAGTGGATATATATAATCCAAATATGGGCAACAAAGAACGAGATAGGTCCTCTGTCTCTGAGAAAGCCGCCGACTAAGTTAGCCCCGAATGCCTCCAAAAGTTTGACATCCTGAATCTCAATGGTATCCAGCCCTCAGCTTTCGCTCTGCTGGGAATCGAGATCAATGAATGTGGATCCCACCGGAACCAGTGGATGGTTCGGCTGCAGCGGACCCCGCCAAAGTGGGCCCGGTTGCGGCGCCAACTCTAAATAGGAAGAAGCCCTACCAGCTGCAGTCTCCGGACTCCGGGGTCGTTGTTAGAGACTTAGGGTATTAAATTAGTCTTGATAATAGACTATAGGCATGCTCATTCCATTGGAGGAGTTAGCCTCTATCATACAAGGTATCATATCTTGTGTACCACTCAAGCGAGGTGGATCAGTTACCCACGACAGGGTTTCCTCATGTATTCTATGTGAAATCAGGAAGGAACATCTGGGTAGTTCCTGCCCATGGAGATAATTGTACTAATTACAGGAAGGAGCAATGGGCAACCACGCCTTCCCTATATAGAAAGGTTACCCTGGGGGTTACTATAATTATAGGAAAATATAATTATCTAGGAGGAGAATATTAGTTTGCCCTAGGGTAGCTATTACTAGCAACTGTTAATGTATCTATCTGACGCCATGACCATCTAGGCGCAGAGGTCACCTGACCCAATGGTAACGATGAGACATAAGCTGGAGGTACGATCGTGCAGCGCAGAACTGGGTCCTGCGGGTTCTTAATCAAATCTGAGCTGAATTACTCGCTGATATATCTGGAAGGTGGAGACTTTCTCGAGGAGAACCAGGTGATCTTGGTAGGATGAAAGATGAACCAGTACCATCTCCTGAAGTCTTAAAAGTCATTTGTAGAAGACTACATTACCACACGGATAAAATTACCCTCCCAAAAATCAGTGTATAATCAGTTCATCAACTTTATTTCGTTTTGGGAACGCACCACATTTCGGAAGCTCGCCGATACCGTTAAAGAAGATGTTATTAATGTATGTCTATCGACCGCCGCTCGAGCAGAACTAACAACTTTTTAAATAGTATATCCAGGTGGATATGACAAAGAAGTATAAGCTCCGCACAAAGCCACGCGAGCCTTTTTTAGTCAAAGCGAAAGACATTGACTACCTTCTACGCCGTTTATTTACCAGCGATTCCCACGATTACATCCACGAGAAGGCTGGGGTACAAACCGGATCATCACTTTCTTTATTCGCGGGTTCCGGGGCCCGGACCGGTGCGATCGTGGAGTCGAGTGTTTATCGCCACACCAACGAGTGTCTTTACTACAAGGTTCGTGTCTCCAATCGTCGGAGTCGCGGACTAGAGTCTTGATATAATATGGAAAACTCAACTATTGTCGCCATCAAACTTTCTAACAATTTGATAGCACCGAGGAAGCATCAAGGGGATATGGATCAGCTTCGGAGGAACTATTTCTAAAGACCCAAGGTTCTTGATATCCACTACCATTGAGAAATAGGGCTAGTAACGTGTGGGCAGTCGGCCTGATGATCTATATGCTAGGTAGAATAGCTCGAGAGCTGAGCTCTTTGCCAATACACGCCTCTCTGCCCCTCGCTGCCTCAATAGCCTTCCAAGCCGTCATTATATTTCACATATGATTTGGTACGGACCGTTCATAGATCCCAAATTGCACATTCATAGCTTTCGAAGCTAGTAATAGCATTAAGAAGGGATACGTTCAGAGTTGGTGTATCGGACTAGGCCACTTGTGGTCTATGTTTACTTATATATTCGTCGCAATGGTCGAGGCCTGTGTTCTTCGAGAGGCGTAGTGGTGCAAGACAACCCTGCAGCTGCAGCGCTAGTGGCTCTATGTCACGGGTCAGATCGGGGCCCACTAGGTTTTCTATTGGCTATTCCCTATCGTATAGTTGCTGCAAGTAAGCTCGGTCCTCCCTTCACCCATTATATGATCCTAGGGCACTTGCAGCAGGCCACGTCAGTAAGCGGCTATCGAGCAGGGTGTCCTCCAATACTTGGTCGGCGAGAGGGAGCTAGTCATGCCGCATATGTATGGGTTTGGCCCGTTGCTCTTACCAAGAAACCATGCTCACTTAGTTGCCCGAAATCATAAGAACTATAAAGAGTGACTATTTCCATCACATCTCGGTCAAAATCAAATTTTAAAAATATTCGAATCCCGTTACTTTACAATAAACGAACATAATGTGTGTCGATTACCAAACAACCACGATCTTCACCCAGGGATGCATAAATCCGGACTGCAACAAATCTGAACTGATCCCTGGACCCGACTGTCTAGACAGACCGGCGAACGGCCCTAGGACTGCTTGTCCTAACTATGAGATACGATATGCGGCGTCGAAGAGAGTCAAGGGCAAGTGCCCTACACATCGCTAGGTAAAAATATCCGCCTGTCACCTTATGTGCAATTTGATTGATGCTAGGATGGCGAAGGAAATGCTATATTTTGGCGATCAGCACTATCAGATGTCTAACCATCTGTTATCACCGTCAACCCCGAAAACGGTTGTTAGTAGGCCGCGACTTACTATTGCGAAAGGTGGACTTGATTCTGGCGAGGATGCGTCTGAAGCATGGAATAGATGGAATGTCCTCGAGGATATCCGATGCACGGCTGTACTGGCACGTCCAGCATTTTTGAATGATATTCCCCCACTGCTGATCTCTTATTCCGTCGAGCGTTGGGAATACTTTGTCGGAAAAAAGTCGCTGGATTTCTTCATCTTCCATTCCTTCGTAAGGTTTTTCGCCGAGTAGAATCTCGTAGATAGTAGACCCTAGAGCGAATAAATCGCTCTGGATAGTATTTGGAGCGTTTTCATCTCGGGGTAGGAAGTGCGTAGCATTCTCCATCACAATAGCCTCTGAGCCTTGTAATGACGAGCCACCGAAGTCGGATAATCTGATATTGCAACTTTTGTCCACTAGAAACTGACGAGCGCTAAGATCGGAATGAATTACATCCTTTTCGTGGATGAAGGCCACTGCCTCGATGGCTTGTCGAGCGATGCGATGTTTAGTATTGCTCGTTAAAGGGGTCTTCTTCAAGTAGGATTCGAGGTCGCCGTTACATTCATACCGCAAATCGACGAAATCATCGCCCCAGCGAATACACTGGGCAATCCGCTTATATTTACCCAGGTGATCGTATATGCGGCCTTCAATATCCACAGCATTTGTGCTGTAGATATAGGTTTTATCCAACGGAACTTTCCGGACGGTCCTGTTGTTCAGCTTGTGGACGATAGTGAATTGACCGACGCTGATAATGTTTTGTCGGCAGGGTTCCTCAAGTTCACTGCGGAACCTACACTTTTTGAACTAGTCAGTGATTGTCAGACATCAGTTTCCCCTGGCGTACCAAAATCATCGTGCCTAGAAGGCTAGTTGTCCTTTAGGTCAACTAGGAGGACGGTCGGCCTAGATAGACTTCCTCTCTCATGTCCGTAAAGAAAATTCGGGAATCCACTAGCCCAGTATCACCACACTTTAGGAGAAAGTTAAGGTCATGAACAAGTAACAGAAAGTGATTTTTTCCTCTGTGGTCGTATGGATGGCTACCTGAAAACGAAGGAGGCGAGATATAGTTAGGGGTTTTAGTATTCACCGCTAAACTCACCGCCAGATTTCTGCTGGTGAAGCCTGTTGTCGACGTTTTGAGTGGCGTCTGGATGGTGTTCTGATCATAGCATTCAGCCCTATTATTCGCGAGCTTCAAGTAGGATTTATAGTCACAAATTAATTTTGTCTTACACATTAGTTTTACGTCTTGTGGATTTTATTTGCCTAGACTTTCTAGGTCTGCGCTTCTACAGAGCATGACTTGGGGAATCATCTGCGAGGCACGGGCCGGCAAATTGGTGGATATCTAAGGGGTTATCTGGACTGATCGCTTATGATTGGTAGTCCTCTACTATGATAGTTCTGGCCCCAGTTAATTTTTGAGTAAACTCCCGAGGTTATTATGGATTCAGATTCGGATTTAGATTCATTCGTATCCGTCCCGCCGCATGAAATCCTATCAGCACACCCTCTGGCGTCACCCTCCTGCTCACCCGGACGACACCCACCGAACTATTGATCGCGTATAAGCCAAACGCCGGTGAGTTAGTAGTTGGGTGGGTGACGATAACTTTTTAGAAATTAAGCTTAACGAGACATGAGAGCACTTGATGTATCTATCTAACGCTATGACCGTCTAGACGCAGAGGTCACCTGACCCAATGGTAACGATGAGACATAAGCCGTGTTACTATCCCACCCACGGCTATAGTCTATAGTTCTCAGCTACTTTATGTTCCCCTCCAATATTTAAACTGATACATACGACCATAGGGTGTGGAAAATAGGGCTTCCCGTCCGCTCAGCCGTACTCAAGCCACACGCCGGTGAGTTAGTAGTTGGGTGGGTGACCACCAGCGAATCCTCACTGTTGTATGTTTTTGTTTTTTTACCCATTATTATAGTTTGACCTTATAGACATGCCGGGCCGAACCGAGTCCTGCAAGCAATCCTCGGGGTCGATGCCGTCGGGGGTTCTGGAGTTTAAATGTCACAGACACGATTAAGAAAAGCAAGCGTACGTCAGAACAGGGAATGGAGGATCTATAACCGAGATGGGAGCCAGAAGTAGCAGCGCCGAGCAACCCTACCAGTCTCGCCCTCAATACACCCCGTCTTAGTCCTCATTCGAGGCATCTTCCATATACATCCCATCGCCCAAAGACGTCTACCGCCGTATTAGATTAAAGACCGAACACTTCATCCACCCTTTAATATCGGTCTCTCCCTCTTCAAGTTCTGGAAACGCCTCTACAGCTGGAAGAAACCACTGCCGCAGCTCTATATAATAGCGCTCCCTATACTTCTCCTAGTACTCCTCTGGCGTTATTACCTTACCCAGCCGTTAGACAGCCGCCTTATCTATTACTAAGTACGCGCGGTACTTATTCTATTTATCTTACTTATCTTAGGCTTCTACCTAGCCTTTAAAATGCCCCTGTACTATATCTAACGAAGCCCTGTCTAGCGCGGCTGGTTCCTCGATAATGGTTAGCTGGTAGCGTACCTAGAGCTTATCGTTAGGCGTGGGATCCGGGTTTTCTAAGCCGTACTTGTGGAGATCTTTATAGACTCCTGCCTTAATCTAGGAAGTGAGGATTTCGATTGCTTTATGGAATGCGGGGTCGGAGCGGTAGGTTATGCGATAGACGACCCAGCCCTAGGTCTCTTCGCGTATGTCCTGGAGTATACGACGGGAGGTGAGGTTAAAGTCGATAGACCTTACGGTCGCTTCGTCAAGTTGAGGCGGTCCAAATATGATGGATAATTGTTCAAGAGATGTGTATTGGGAAGAGAGAGATCGAGGGGGCATAGCGCGCAGGGTCGTTTTCGCCTGATTGAGGCCTTGATGCCTGGAATTTTACTGGCAGAAAAGTAATGAATTACCATTACAGAGAGCTTAGTAATCTACCAGCCTTACCCATAACTAGTTAAACATGAAGCTTTTGGCACCATACAAATTTAGTTATCTCATCTTTTCCAGGTGGTTTACTTGCTCTCTCCGCCATGTATGAACATGAAGCAATTTAAATTAATTCTACCACTACCAATAATAAGTGCAAGAGCATCATTCGTATCAGATTCCCACTTGGTACTTTGCATTTTGTCGTGGATCCATCTCAGCTTTCGTTCCAGAGCCCATTCCAGTGGGCAAGTACCCATATACAGATTTCAAAACGCCTGCCGTGGTCTCCAATATCTCAAGTTTTCCGACTCTATGTCGTTGCTCCGGTCCTCCTGTGCCGTAGTCTATCAAGATGTAATCATGAGATAGGGTGGCTGGACACTAGAAACGGGATGAAGTCAAGACTATCTGGGTCAAGACCGAATATGGTTGTCGGTTCAGTCCCAAGCTTTTATGCCAGAGTACAGTTTGATCCCCTTGCGACTACGATACAGGACGTGAAGTAAAAGCTCTTTTGTTGAGATCAAAGGATGGTTTATTCCAGTATTGGATTACATTTGTTTCATGATGAAGTATGCTGCTGGGTGACAGCTTCCATTGCTTCTAGTCAGCTTTCAGAAGCGGAAACGTTATCTATCTGCAGGCAGTCACTAGGAGTACCCGGCGTGTTACATGACCTGCACCACCCATCATGACATCAGACAACCCCCAACGGCCGATCCATCTCTGTTACAAGAACCGTATAAACGCCATGAAGAATTGCTAGGATCATTGAATGCCTACAAAACCCTCAATAGAATTTTGTATTCGGGGGGAGTCCCTCAGCTTGGTCATCTCTCTATATTCGTCAGTTAGCACGCCGAATGCTTCCAACATGGGCAGCAACGGAGCCCTTACCAGTAATTCCCCAAGTCCCTCTACGAGCTTAACTTCATGCTCACAATTGGCCAGCTGTTCAGGTCCAAAGTCGGTGAAGGTCGTTGCAACGTCGAAGTCGATCCAGACCATCCTATCTGGGTTTCCACGAACAAGGAGCATGTTTCTGGGGTAGATGTCTCGGTGCTGAACGCCCGCCCTATGTATCTCCTTCAGACCCTCAATTGCCTGAGGATAGAGCGCGTCTGAGTAGTTCACGCAGTTCAACTTCTCCGCGTTTGGGAGGTATTCTAGCAATATTGCGCTCGGGTTTAACTTGTCGTGGGCGAAATCTTGGAAAAAAGGATGGAATGCAGCCGGATCCACTCGATCGATGTAGCCGTAGAATTTTGGAACGAAGTTGTGCTCGCAGGCATTAGAAGTGAGGAGCTTCTGGTATGCATTAAGTTCGCAGCGAAATCGGTTCAGATCGCGGCCATCCTCGGTATATCCAGGGTCGCCGTTGTCGTGGAAAAGCTTCAATGCATACTGCTGTCCATCTAGATCTACCTCAAATATTGAAGAGGCATCAGACTTCGAAATCTCCCTAATGATATTGATTCTGGAGAGATCCATGTCGGTCAAGGGAGCGCTTGTTGGATGCATTGTGACCCTATTAGATGTAATATTCCAACAAGGGGACGGCCGACAGCTGATCGAATGTTGAAATGGGACCGCCAATTTTTAGCGCCTCTTGGCACAGAAGAACATGTATTAATGCGAGTTCCGAGAGCTCAGCGAACGTCAGACATCAGCGAATGTCGGGATTCTTTTTAATCTAGCATAACAGCTTCTGACCTAATGACTAATTATCCCATAAAGATAATACTGTAAATAATGATCACATTAACAGTTCCGCCTATGTCCAACTAGTTACTGCTTTTTATCTGCGTTCACGGAATCATCTTTATAGTGAATCAAGAAAGAGAGATTTTTCTTAGCTTCCAAGCTGCTATTCATTACAAGCTAAATACCATTTGTTTAATTTTAGCAATGCTCTCGAAGACCTGGAGATGACCACATAGCGCTTTAATCGTGGCAAAGATCCCAATACGCGATGTTGTGTTCCTTAAGCATGTCTATGCCACACAGTTCTCTAATATATATGTTAGAAATCGGCGCACGCTGTCGACTATCCCAGCGCAGTGGCGCCGGTGCCATGATGTAACTGTACAGGATCTCTCTTCCTCTGTGATCTCGGCGATGGTAATGGTGTGTGCTGGGGCCCTGCGGAACTCTTCACTCAATCTATAAACTGGAGATCGTGTATAATGCGTGGTGAGTATTTCGATGGATTCCTATAGCGAGAGTTATGCTTCCAGACACTCCAATTTTGTTGCGCGTGGGCTTACATGGCGTTGTGTAAGGTGCAAGCCAGTTGAATTACATGTCCTAGTCGAGCTTCGAACGCACCTCAGGCACTTGATGTGCGCCTGATGCATAAACGGGGGTTCTGGCGGATACGGAAAGCGGTCTCTAGGATATTCGTAAAGGGTGCTGCTCACTTAAACAATATTCTTCCACAAACCAACTATGCTCATCAATTTCCTTTGGCCTGGGGCCTCTCATCATATTGATTTCGTAAAGGGATTCTCATGCCCTTGCGACGATTAGTGGATCTTGATCCGCTCCTTCCCGTCGGCCCGGGCCGAACGTGCCTCAACCCTCGAGCCTAAGTAGGGAATGAGCCCCAAATTTGGTTACAAACAATGCAAACACTCTAATTATGTACATAATCCTGCTGACTTTGCAGGTTTATGAGCGCCAAGACCCCAATTTATGCAAAAACCGAGTCGAACTGGGTCCAAACTGCTTTTTGGGCATTTATTGGAACCTCTATAACGGTGTTTCCTTGTGGAATAGGCCAGGCCAATTTTAGAAGCATGTTAAAATTTTCCATATGTCCTATATCGAAGACCTGTGTAAATTGAATATGAAGCTTTCCATCAAAAGAGAACTGAAAAATACGGCACCCACCAAATTCACCCATGAGAATGGCCAGTTGCTAAAGATGCTAAGAGAAGTATGGAATCACAACACCCGTCGAACAGAGCGGTTAAGCCCTGGAATACAAATTGACGTTGCCTGTCATAGGATAGCGTAGACAGAGGTATCAAATGGCCCGCATGGTCCCCGTCGCTTTCACTAATTTACAAAACCACAATCATGACTTATTCCACTGTCTCATAAATGCAGAGAACGTCGACAGCAAGCTGTTCTGGTTACGTACATTCCAGAAAACAGCCGCAGTGCCGCCAATGACCATGACTATTGTAATCTGCTTTGGGGAAATGCCACGACTGTGCTTCTTAGCAGGCTTCGCCAGGTCTGCATCCATCACAGGTAGTGGGAGATATTCCAAATAAGGACCGCCTCTCGAGAAACTAGCATACAGCTTAGCCTTGAGCCTGTCACTAACCCAGGGGACAATGTGACGGGCCGCAAATTTGAGGACCCAGGTATCTTGGGCTTCATAGCGCGTAATCTGACCAGATAGATCAACTACTGTTTTTGCTCGAGGCTCCTGACCAGCGATATACTGATTGAAAACGTCGGTCAACTGCTGAAGGGATGGCATGGGGTTGTCCTTGAGTAACGGCACGAGACCGTTGGTCAAACGAGCAATACCTTCATAGGCCAGGTTACCACCTAGGCCAGGATTGATTGTAGCCTGCCGAATTAAGAAATTAGTTAAATCCTTGAAGTTCAGCGGGAGATCCCAAACCTTGTGAACTGAATCACCCATCAGAACGACCCGGTTATGGCTCCACTGTTTGATGACACCTTCCTCCAATGGTACCATTGTGCCTTTGACTCTAGCATCCCAAAGATCCTTCACGGTATAACCAGGGCCCACCAGAGAACTGCCGTACCTCTGGATTGTTGCCTCTGCGTCTTCATCCGTGAATCGCGGGCAGTTGGGGGTTCTCGTGCATTTGGAGTCCTTGACAAAAAGAAACCAAAAAACAAGCCCATGCACACCAGCAGCTGCAATTGCAGAGTAGTTATCGTAGTACACGTTGTGAACCATCGCATCAGGTAAGAACTGCTTCTCGGTATCATTCCGGGAGACAGCAAAGATGCAGTCGTACTCGCTTGTAAAGGCTATATTCCAGAGACAGCTAGTTAGAAGGGTTTTGGGGTAGCAAAACAGAACGGCTAGACTGACCCTCGTTGATTTCATTAGCGAGAGCCTGATCAGTCACGCTGATTTTGTCGGCCATCAGCTTTCTCACTTTGCTGTGGATTCCGTCCGCGCCGATCAGGATGTGACCGTGGTGCTGCGTGCCATCTTCGGTGGTGACGATAACCGACTGTTGGGTTTCTTCATACCCAACGACGGCAGTTCGGGCATGGAGCTTTGATTTGTCTTGAACATGGTTGTATAGCACTTCCAAGGCTTTGCATCGCTCCATGAAAATAATTGGACGTTGAAGGCTATTCTCCCACAAAGTCATGGTATTAGCACATCCCGTTCATCGGACACTTCCATCAATCGATACGGCAAGTAGTAAATTATATATAGACTTACATTTCATTGATGTCGACTAGAACATGCGACTTCTCAAAGCAATGGCCGTTTCCGTCATAATGTTTTCGAAGTTGCAGAGGTACAACCTGTTTCTTAATATCCTCCCATACTCCTAGCTGCTCTAGAATTCTTATGGTATGCGGATGGATTCCGATAGAGGCGCCCAGTTGTGTTGCGAAGTCTCCCTTTTCAAAAAGTTCGTATTCGATTCCGACGCGCTCAAAAGCTAGGGCTAGGCCGAGACCCACGAGACTCCCACCAGCTATGAGGACCTTGAACTGATTTGTGTCTTGATCGAATGACGCCATGGGTAGAGATGCTTAGATGCAGGAATGACAATTAATTACGGCGGAATATTTCGTGCATTTGAGTCGCATAACTAGTTATAAAATAATATGTAAGCTGTACGGAGTAAACAGCCCCTTTATATTTCCCATTCCGAAGGGCTATTGTGCAAAAAGTGGAGAACAAGATTCAATGGGCTCACTTAAGAGGTCCGTGCGATCGTCTATACTCAAAGTAGTACTCGGTAACTACGAATTCTAGATTTTCTCAAGGCGAATTGTGTGCTTGGTGAAACAGATTGATCCCGTAAACGTGGGCGGGTGGGGTTGCAAAGGCGATGAATATTCACAGCCCGGGTTTCCGGATATACATATGCCGATGCAAGGTCAGGGAATACGCCGCTAGTCCGGTACATATTTTGTCATAGATTCTGTTTCTTGGTAGGCAGTTGTCCTCTTGATTTTTCCGGAAATTTCCGAAACTGACAAGCAGCGCTAACGACTAGCTCCATTACTCACGTATCATAGAGTGACCCGCTCCATTAAAGGGGGGCCGATACTCCGTACAAATTTCAAAATGGACATGCGCGTTCGATTGTGGGGACTCTACGGAGTAGTACTCCGTACTCCGTGCACTGTTGTAGATGATCTGGAATTTTTGATTCTTAGTCGCTTGTTACTACCTTAACTAACGGTTACTCTGCACTCTATGGCTCAGCCCGAAAATCACTTATGACACAGCTATTGAGATACGTCATTCCCACCGCTAGGATGTATCCAGACACGGCCCCACATTCCATCCCACCGGTCTAACGGCTATACTCAACTTGGAATAATGAGGCTTGACAAGGTTCATCGGAAATTAGACCGGTAAAGTTAATTGTCAGCTAGTTAACTAGTGAAGTAGTTGTCTAGAATGAGTTAACAATAGAATTAGAATTTATTGATCTGCATATGCGGCCTGACAGCTCCGTAGTGCTCAAAAGTACCAGAAGTTTGGAAGAAACCAGTCACATATGGGCTCTCTCTTTTTTCCAGCTCACAAAACAGGCCTTGCCCGGTTTTGACCCAGATTCGCGTCTTCTGGCCCTTGAAATGTTGACCGAACCCATACGCAAAGAGGCCTTCGACTTTTCTAATAGCTACCATGTCTGCCTCAGTGGAGCCAATCTTGACAGCAGAAGAGCGGCACCTGCAGTCGCTCATCTACGGTCTAATCATTAGCACGGGAATCCTGTCTATGATAGTCTGCAGTTTACGAGTAAGGACCTGACTGGCTCGTCAAATACGAGAACCGGTAGAGTACGGCGCATGAGCTGATTTTGCCTCCAGCTTTACACAAGAGCAGTCGTCATCAAAATTTTTGGGATGGATGATATCGCTGTCTGCGTGGCATTGGTATGTCCAACTTTCCATTGCAGTCATACAACATCAGTGAAGATTAACAGAGTTATTATTAGGTTATCACGCAGACCTTTAATGGGCTGGGAGTTGCTATAGTATATTACGGAGAAGGGATACATTTTAACAAGGTGTCTGCTGAAAATCGAGCAATCTGGCTCAAGGTATGATTCAAACAGATCCTTCGCTCAAACACATCGTTGACCTGGGTAATAGCTTTATTATGTGGCAATGTGCCTGTACCTCTACGCCTCCTTGTCTGTGAAAGTCAGCTTGCTGTTATTTCTACGACGGATCTTCATCAAACGTAAGTCTTTCACCGACTACACAAAATCCAAGCTAGGATGACCTGGCGCTGACCCCAACGTTCAGGCTGGATGAATGCGCTCACTATAGGCATGATTGTCTTTCAAGTCTTGTTCTCGGTCTCGGGTTCATTCGTTCTAGCCTTCCAATGTGACCCTGTAAGGTAAAAGAATTCGCTCCCAGGATGTCTGAAACATATATTAACAGGAGTAGGGGTGCCTATGACTTGACAGTCGCGAATCCGAAATGTTACTCGCAGTACAAACTGTTTCAGATCACATTATACCAGGCTGTTCTTATCTTCGTTTGTGATGTCATCATCTTGATTGCGCCACTGGTAATTCTATGCGGACTGCAGATGCCCACACGGAAAATCATCGCTTTGATGGCGATCTTCGGATCAGGTTCGCACACACCCCGTTATACCTGGGCCGGTAAATGCTAATTTTGACTGCAGGTATAATCGCCTGTATTTCCCCCGTTGTTCGCTTCAGCACATTGGATTATCTGCGCCATGGCACTACGGATCTTACCTGTGAGCACACGCTACTTCGGCATCTGGTTCTTTACTCGCTACATGCCTCATACTGACTATTTCCCACAGACGACTCGGCATCATCACTATACTGGATGGCCATCGAGTTCAATTTGGGCCTTGTCGCAGGCTCTCTCTCTTCTCTACGGGCATTGTCTGTTTTTCGCAGATTCGGGTCGAGCGCAAACTCGCGAGACAAGGGATCGACCGGCAATAAATCTCACGAGCTTCTCAATATGAATGGTAGTGAGCCCAGAAATACCAGGGAAAGGAAGAGAGGGTTGGGGATGGGGACAACAATACTGCAGGATAGTGTCAACGAGAGCCAGGAGCACATTATTCATGAGCCGAAAAAAGACTATGGGCAGCGAGAGGCAAGGTTTTGATTGTTATTCAAAAATTCAACCCATTTCAAAATTAATATACTATTTTGGATCTTTGGGGCTTGTTAATATTTCGTGACAGATGACCTTCCTCTTTTCTCGACCGTGCCAGGGACGGTTTGCGTATCACCTTATACCCGTATGGCTGTTCTAGAGCGTATACGGAGACAGATTGTGCAATATGATAGATCCGAATCTATAAAACAATCCAGTTAACGTCCACTGATTTACGCCTGGGCAGATATTCCCCATCTCCCACCAAGGTCAGCACATGGAGATTCCCGATTTTGATCATCTTCTCCGGCTGCGAAGAGTCCCCACTACGGGCGGCCATCAACAACAAACCATGCCATTGTCCGGGTCGGTACCGGAGATGAATAGCATAGTACGTCCCACGCACTCCGTAGATCTCCGGGATGAGCTGTTTAATCCAGTACCGGAGATCCCCATGATACATGCTCCCTTGGGGTTGGAAGTGCTCCCGTTCAACAATATGTTCAGGCACCGGCAGACTCAAATCGACAAAGCATGTCATATACTTGATATCGCCATAGTCGCTATCGGATGAGAAGAGGATCTCTACCTGCGGTAGAAACACCGCCCCGTCGCCGCGGACCTCCCACGTCGATACGGACGGATGGTCCGCCATCTCTAAGCGCGGCACATACAGGCGTCGCGCCTCCGAGATCCGGGCCCGGAAGGGGAGCATAGTGCCCCGGACTATGTCCTGAGTTTTCACATCGTCGACGGGCGGGTAATCTGCCAGAACGGCGGTGATGAAGAAGCTAGAGCCCAGATTGCGCGCGACCTCCTGCACGAAGGCGAGCGGGTACTGGTCGAAGACGAAGCCCGGTTTGTTGGGCTGGCGCTGCTCCGGCATGGCAGTGGCGGAGGTGTACCATTCTGTCATGCCGAGGACGGACATGATCGCCTGCGCACGGCTGTGGCTGCAGTAACGGCTGGTCGCTAGGAAGAGGATCTGCTCGCGCTTGAGCTCGTGGAGGTTGTTCATTCCTGTGCGATGAAGGAGGTCGAGTAATTCGTGGTATCCTGGGTGAACGAGGGGCTTCCAGCGTTCGAGAAGGTGGTCTGCTGGGGTAGTTAGATCGTTAAGTACCCTAATGAGTGTGTCTTTGACTCGTTCGGCGAGGGAGACGAGCGTGTCGAAGGCGACGAGGGCCCCGTTGTCGCCTATCGTGAGGAGGTCGAGGTTCTTGTTGCAGATCCAGATGTCAGGGCGCAGGCACACTTCCTGTAGCGTCCACAAGGAGCTGAACCAGGGCAGGGTGGCCATGTCCGGTGAGAACAGCCCCGTGGCCCGGATCTGGTCGTGCGCTTTCCACGGCGGGATACGTATGGAAGACTCGTCCCCATTCGAGAACTGGAGGTCCAGATATATGGAGGAGATCCACTGGATGGCGCTGCGCATGCCGTCCCAGGACTCCGGGGCGGAGTCGGTATTCCACCAAGCGATTGCGTGTTTAGCGCTCTTGAAGATGGATGCCTGGCTCGCAACCTCCATACGCATGGCCTCCCGCAGCTGCTCGTCAAGCTCCTCCCCGCAGCCCTCCTGCGGAATGCAAACCAGATCAAACCAGATATAGGGTGTATCCGTGGGAATCTGCGCCAGGATATCTGGTAGTCGCTCGACATCGAACAGTGAGTTCCGCGGGATCAGCCACGGCACGCGCGGTTTCATGTTAACCCCAGGCTGATCGCGCTGCCGCCACCGGCCCCAGGTGTGACTGATGGCTGTGTACGAGATGTCGAAATCGTCGTCGTCCCACAGCGAAAAGACCTCCACGGTCCTCCGCTCTTTCACATCCCACAAGTAAAGCGGGAACCCGCTGATCTCTCCCAGCCAGGGGCAGGAGTCGATACTGGAGCCGGCGCTGCAGCTAGGATCCTTCCCGGGTAGGTCGCTGCTCCCTAGGACCCGTCTCCCTGCGCGCCAGACCGGGGAACTCTCTGACCGGTGAGCGAGATAACTCTCGCCATCTGGGGAGTATGGTACTTGAGCTGGCTGTTGGGTGTGGCTTCGCGGGGAGCAAGCTTCGATCGCAATGGTTAGACAAGCAGCTTCCTGCGCCATGTCCCGTCGGAGGCTCACCAGCTCGTTGCCGCTTCGGTGTATTACGAAGTTCTCGAATTCAGCGTTGAACAACGTTGCCATGCACTTGTTGTAGACGCAGTTGAAGTGGAGTTTGTACCGGATCCCACTGGCCTGGTGGATCGTCTCGCGCTCTACGTGGTTTTGTGAGTAGAAGTGAGACTCGTCGTCGCCAAAGAGGTCGTCGTAATTATCATCGTATTCTTCTTCTGCTTCGTCCACAATACATACTCGGGAACACGTTGCCCACCATTTCCAGAGAATGTAAAACGATCGTTCCTGCCCCCGGGTAAGATGTTGTCGCAGTTTTTCAGCACGATCATCATTAAACCCCGTGATGACCGTACCGTCAGGGCTTTTTACACTGTCGACCGCGCCCTGCTCCAGAGCCAGTCGATACATGATCGAGAAACATCTGCTGTACCCGTCTCCCATGCCCATGTCCTCGCCGTAGACCACCTGCATCAACGTGGCGAGGGGGTATCCCTTGTCCCTCTCGGGGCTGCGCACGGGCACCCAGTCATCGGGGCTCATGCTGATATGCTGACTTTTCTGTCTAATATAAGTGTAAATAATAGCAAGACGCTGGTAGTAGTGTTTATTCGTAGAGACGAGCGACGAGGTCAGAAGCGGGGTTATATATTAGAAAACTAAGCGAACCCACTGTTCTGCTATTGGCTGTGCTTCTGCTAGTACGAGATCAAATTTATTGATGCAGATGGAACGAATATAAGAAAGAAAAAAAAGGCTAATTCTCAGTTGCATTCGAGACATCACTGCAGCCAAACCAACGACTACCGTCTCACCAACCGCTCCAAACAATCCCTCCCCTCCTGATGCCGCGCGTGATACGTCGCAATAAGACTAACTTTCACCGTCTCAGCCCCATTCCTCTTCTCCCCAAAAAGAATCGCCGGCCGATCCGCCAGATAATCAGCGATCTTAGATTCCGTGCTCGTGCCCCGTCCAAACGATGTGTAGCGGACGATATGCATCGTCAGGACAATGTATATCTGGTAGCAGGTCCACGCGTACTGAACCAGCGGCGGCATCCAGAGAGTCGAGGCCAGCAACCCTAGCGGAAATAGAGCGGCGAAAAGCGCTATAATGCTCAGCTGGAGAATCTCCCGGGGTCGGTTCCGGACTGGGTGGCCGTAGTGTCGGAAGAACTGCTGCACGAGGGCTGGGAGACCTGTGAACAGCATGAGGTCGCCGCCTTGGGATTGGGGGAAGTGCAGGACGAAATCACGAGGTGCTTCGGCTTCGGTTGTCGGCGTGGTTGATGGCGATGAGATGGAGGAGGAGATAGGGGTGAGGGGCTCGTGGTCGAGGGCGAAGAAGGCGCTCAGGAGGCGGAGGAGCAGCGGGGCTAGCCAAATAAGACACCAGAGTGATCGGCCGATGGCGTAGATGACGGCAAAGAGAATGATGCCGGAGAGCTCGGCGATGAAGATGCTAAGGTAAATGTGCCAGCCTGGTCGGCCGCAGTTCTCGCGCACAAACGCCATCTGCGAGGCTTTATCTTCTGCCGTTGCTGGGGTGAAGATGAGGTGGTAGACGGCGACTTTCGCTCGTAAGGGGATGCGGCCATTGTCGGCGGGCGGGAGGATGCCCTTCTCGATGGCAGCGTCCGTGGCTGGAGGGGATAGTCCTGCCAGTGATCCAGATCTTTCGGCGGGTATAGGCATGTAATGAAGAGCTCGCGCCCACATGCAGTTACGGGCTGCGCGGGGCTCGGAAGTAGCAGTACCGCGAATGGTGTAGGTCCAGTCCGTTTGCTCAAAGAACGAAGTGCCCAGCATGTGGCCTTCGTGGGCGCCCTTCAAGAGACCTCGGGCGTTGGCGATATCGAAGGTGCTCAGAGCGGCTTTGTGCAAAGGACCCCCCATGGGCATCAGGAGAGCCAGGGTTGGGATGGATCGAAGTGTGAAGTGGGACAATGATCGCTGGGGCCATAATAACGACGAAAACCAGATGTCAGTGGCTGCCTCTGCTCCGATATAACCAAGCACCGCACCAAAGGCGCCAAGAACCCCGCCTTGGTCGGACATATCGCCAAGCGAGATGATTTCTGGTAGCAAAGGGTTGTGGTCAGATCGAACTTACTCCTTTTGCCCAGATGGCCGGATCTATCATGGTAATGATCAGATCTGATGACATGGCCGAGTTTTGAGTTGGTCGGAGACCTGCTGAGCTGGCTAGTTGAGCGGGTCAGCGTTGTTAGGCTGATCTAGGCTTACATGGGATTCAGCCGCAAGATTGGGTTGTCAAAAAATCCAGTTGGCCAAGGGTTATTCCATGATGGCTATCATGTTTTGGAAGTGTTCATGTAGAATCCGTCTTCCGATTTATCATGCCCCTTGAAACGGGGAATGACGGTCAACATCATCCATGGGTGCCGGTTTGGTTCAGGTCCAAAAGCTTTCCAAGACGGGACTAACTCTACCTAGTAGGAATGCCACCTAATTACTTAAGTCCCAAGCGAGTTGGGCGAATTGACACATATCAGAATCCTATGCCTTGGAACCAGATTATCAACTAATCCTAATATTGCAGTGGGGGTGGGTTTCCAGAGCAGGATGACCAAGCAGTCATGTGATAACTATAAAAGCACTCCGAGGCATAGATAGTAACGCAGACACCTTTCCACCTTTCCATTCTCAGTACCCTACGGTGTTCTTCTCTCTAGCACCCTACTACTCCCAGTGACGACTCTGCTCTCACACCTGTTTTGCAGGCAGGGCTGTCGGTGCCCCTGTCCCCGTGGCAGGGTCCCCTCTTCACTATACTACTAGGGCCAGAGGTCACCTGACCCAATGGTGACAATGAGAAATAAGCCGTTTTATCATTCCACCACGGCTAGAGTTCGTAATCCTCAGCTGCTTTATGTTCCCATCTGTTGTTGTATCAAGTACATACGACCATAGGGTGTGGAAAACAGGGCTTCCCGTCCGCTCAGCCGTACTTAAGCCACACGCCGGTGAGTTAGTAGTTGGGTGGGTGACCACCAGCGAATCCTCACTGTTGTATGTTTTTTTTTGTTTTCCTTTTGTTGGCATATGTGTGAAGTACAGCAATAGCATGCTCATCTTGGGCCCTCTGTTGTACGGAGTTATCTTTAAGAAATCACGTTTTACCACCGCGGAGTATCAATGACTAAAAGCCGAGCTATTGTAATATGGGTGTAGGCAAGAAATGAAGATCCGATGTCTGTCTGAATGATAGATCTCATTTACGAAGTAATTAATGCTGTCTTTAAAAGCAACAAGCATTGTTACATCGTGGCCATATATTCCCTTGAAAGGCACGAATTAATTGGTCCATTTCTAGTCGCAAGTGGGGCTATTGCCTCAATCCTCAGGCACCTACCTTCCGTTTTCGGGTAGCGGCCGTTCGAAGTATAACGACCGCCAATGTGATATTTTGGTTTCCATGTATTTTGTGAGAGAAATAGGAGGGGAGATGAGTGTGTACATGAAAATAATCTACTCATCGTTGATTGGGGGGGGGGGGGGAAGAGTGTGGAGAAGATGTATGAGGAAAAGAAATGAAGAGGTAAAGCCACGATGTGTTGGGAAAGGAGAAAATCAAAAAAATGACAGTTAACGCGGAAAATTATTAATGGGAATGGTATTGGGGTGGAAAGGAAGGAAACGGAAGAAGGCAATAGCCTCAAAGATCATGAGAATTGGATTTGGGGGGAAAGAGGTGGGAACAACTTCAAAATCCTGTTAGGGAATGAAAAGGAAGGTCACGGGGAAAGCGCAAGATACTTGGAAATAGCTTCAACCGTGAGCCACGGGGATTGGGAATTGGTGTGGGAGTTACCTCAGAAAGGCAGATGGGGATAGCCTCAAGAACGGGAAATAGACGCAATTACATCGGAACTCTGAATAGCTTCATGATTACCTAACTGAGAAGAACAAGATCCAGCCAATCAAATCACTAGAAATATTCAAAAAGGCTCTGTTATAATGAACAGACCGGGCAGTTATTTCACCCCAAGCCCCACGTAGCTCAGTGGAATATGACCGTTGGTACAGTCTCTGGGCCCAAGGCTGTACCTTCCGTTGACCGCCAGAACCTGTGAGAGCGTGCGTTCGAGCCAGGGCGAGTTCTCAAAGAAAAAAGGAATCCTAACAGGCGTCGGCCCGCCTGGTCCCTTCGTTTGGGGTAGGACCGAGTCGAGATTCGCTAACAACGCACGTGTATATATCCCGTTAAGCGGTTGGTTTAGACGAGTAGATCTGCCTATCACTTGTGACACAAAATTGGGGAAGGCCACCATTTTTTTTTCTTTTTTAGAGAAGAAAATGAAGTTGTATTGATTCTATCGTGAACGCACAGACCCGCTTCCCCGGATTTAAATTCCCCCCACTGCACAAAGTTCCCGAATTATTATGCTTAACAAGAGCCTCAATGCCCTCGTTGCCGACTACGACATTGCCTTTGTCTGTAGCCAGAAGCCAGTATGTATATCTTTCTCTTCATTCCCAATGACAACCAAGTCCCCTCCGGCACCACAACCGAGGACAAGAGTGGCTCTGACTTTAGGTATCTTTTATACGGACCTTGCATACAAAATGTACTTGCTTCTTTGTCCGAATTACCTTTTTTAAAAAAGTACCAGTTAAAAGCCAGGTTAATAGAAAATATTCCTTGATTTGTTCTGGATAACCAACATCTCCTTTGTTGATTGTGTATTTATTATATTGTTGAAATGAGTATACATACCCAAGGCAGATCGATTTGGGAAGGAACGCTGTAGAGAGCACCTGGCCCACGTGAATTGTGCTCTCTCTTTCCTCTTCCTCTTCCTCTTTCCCCTTCTCCTCCCTCCCTCTTCCTCTTCCTCTCTTCCTTCTCATCTGAATCTTTGTCTTTTGTCCCCAGCTTCAAATCAACGAGACATCAGATCTTCCCTCTCGTTGCAAAATAACTCTCCTGTGCCCAGGTCTAGGGTGGTTTGAAGATGTTCCGATCGTACAAATTTAGCTTAGGGCTTTAGTATCTCGCATTTGAAAGGGTCGAGATCAAGTCGTAGAGGCATACATTAACGCACGGTATGAATAGCTTCAACGCCCGGAACTAGAGAGAGATGGAGCTTTGTACGGTTGGAAGAAGAGCGTCAAGGTCAAATTGGAGGGAAACGGAGATTTGTATTATGAATATCTTCAATTTTGTGCAAGCTATACACCTTCGCTCGTGAACACGACCCCCCCCTCATTCGTCTCCTTCGGAATCCGAGCCTATGACTACCACTTTTCAGCGGTAGGACGGTTGCTTAGTTCTCGCTGGACGGCCTCTTCCTGGTATGGATTGTAAGCTCCTAAACCCTCGGTTATGTATTCTTGATGAATTTGAAGCCATCGAGTAGTCATCTGCGCGATTAATTGGTCCGTCTCTTGTGTCTTCTGGATCTCGGAAGTCGGTTCGGGACGATCTATCTCAAAACCTTCCAAAGTATCTTCACGGCGGAGAGATTCATCTCGAATCGCTTGTTTTCCAGATTCTTCCATATGATGGGATGACGGACCATTCGCAAGGTGTAGCTTATACCTCAAGCCAAAGGGGTGGCACGTGACATAGCAGGTTCGGCCCGGGCCGACGGGAAGGAGAATGCGCATCTAGACCCACTGATCCGAAATTTTGGTACCGCCTTCCAGATTGGGTGCGACCATGGATTTTGCCATGATTTCTGCCGCTGTAGAGTAATTTCTGTCATATATTCTGCCCACTTCTGGCTTACATAGTGAATAAATATTCAATTTGATAAGGAAAAAAAACACATATTCTCTCTGATTCGGGTGTTTCGAAGTGCACGCTGACTCTCTGGTCCTGTATAAGGATGGGCTTTCAATGCGTTCCATCGGTCTTCAAAGTGAGATAGTGGTATTCCAGTCCTTCCAGTCCACGAGTACTCCCATTCCATTCCGAGCACTAGAGGTGAAGTGCTGGTCATTGCTAAATCGTGTGAGCTTGTTTTGGCAGGTATCCAACACTGATTGGCAGAATGCATTATATGTCAGAGTTTGTTGATCCGTTGGCTCATCTAGCTGGAGGGTCTCTTTGTGGCTCGATTGGCTAGACTGATGAGAGTCTAGGGATGAACTTGTAGCGCTAGATAGCGCTTGGAACATTGTGCTCGCGAATACCGAGCCACAGGTCCGGTCGGTACTCTGTGATATACCCTAGGCATTAGAAGTGCCCTAGGTTGAATTCTTCTTCGGCACCAGCAGCCGTAATGGCAGTACTGTTCAGCTCAGGAATAATGGCCCATCCTCCAGAGTAGCAAGCAGTAGTAACCAGGGTGACACGGGCACCTGGCTCAAGGACGCCTTTCAGAGTAATGATACTCAGACCCCTCGACCGTTTACCATCATCCAGTAGAAGGTGATAATGAGGCAACATTCGAAGTTAGGGAGGGTATAATGATGAGATATAGGATTGAAAAGTGAGAGACCAGGTAACTGTGAAAGAGAAATAAAAAAAGTGAATGAGAAGTGAATGAGAAGTGAAAGGGAGACTTAAGAGCAATCCGCCTGCTGATGACCTGAAATGACCAGCATCGGATCTCGAGACTCAAGTAGCTTGGAGCTATAACGGCGAAGGAAAAGAGGAAGAACCATGATTGAGCTAGGCAGATGTGAGGAGGAGGGAGACCGAGAGACTGTGGAAAGAGCCTTCGATTCCTTATCGAAGTTTTCAGTTTCCGTTGTTTTCACTATTATCAAGATGTAATAATGAGTATGTTCCTGTGCTCATTTCAAAAGCTGGTTGCATATCTCGCCGGAATCTTGATGGTGAACGTATCGGTCCGGTGTTTCTTTACTTTGCGGAACCACTGCCGAGATATGCTGAAAACTTGCGTTCGGGCCGATGACAGCGGCTGTTTTGTTCTTTAAGGTTGAATACCCGGATCACGTCACCTGACCCTGACTATCAGGACCCGTATCTTCCTTTCTCTCCCTCTTTTCCCCTACCTGGAAAGGTGGAACTAGAAATAATAAGTACTTTGTGCACCTTAGATAAGCATAAATTTAAAATGAGTCGTAAATTCCCCATAGGGAAAGAGTTCTGCAGTGATTCCACTAGCAATGCTTGATCGCGACTGAGATGCGCACGTGGTCGAAACGAACCTTCGGGTTTGATGTCGGGATTTCTCAAAGTGGATCCGAAATTACTAATAAATAGCCCTGGCTATATGTGATTGGTCGAAGGAGCTTCCCCTTTTCTCCAGTTGTGGCTTAGCTCGACATGTCAACCTATAAAACACTTTCAGGGCTGAGACATCAAGTACATCCTCAGGGGGCTGACATGGGGACCGGGCGCTAAAGATCATATGAGCTAGTGTCAGAGTAATCTTAATTCTTCCTACTTTCAATTAAAACCTAGTCATTCCCTCATTCTCCACACCTCCACACTCTTCTCCACAACAATTGCAAAACCATTACTTCATACTCAGTATCAAGATGACATTCCTCAAGACCCTTCTTCTGGCGGCGACCCTGTCAGTCGCTTCGACCGCCGCTTCAACCGCGGAAACCACCTGCCCAGCAGGCTGGCTCTCAAACACCTGGACCGTCACAAGATGCTGCTCCGGCACCATGGTCGTCGACGAGCAAGGCGCATACTGCTGCGTCATCGACATGAGAGCCTACAAAGAAGCACTCACCAACACAGCCTTGCTCTACGAGACGGCCACCACGACCAGCGACACCAACTGGTCTACGGTAGAAAATTCTTGCGTGGCGGAGGTCCGCTTCACGGCTACCGATTACTCGGCCCAGGTCTCGTCGGCGGCGAGCAAGGCTGAGGCTACTCCTACCAATGATTCAACGAGCGAGGTAGCCTCTACAAGCACTATGGCTTCTGGTGCCAGCTCTGGTGCAGGATCGCAGACTTCGACTTCGACTCCGACTGCGACTTCGACTGCAACTTCAAGTTCGGCTTCTACTTCAACTCCGACTTCCACTTCGACTACGACTTCGAACGCGGCTATGCCACTTGTTACAGGTGAAGGGGTTGTGCTCGGTGGTGCGGCATTCGCTGCTGCCCTTTTCATGCTGTGATTAAATGTGATTTTTTCTGTGATTTTGGCCCCCATTTTGTTTTCGGGTTCCGAAGAAGGCCAGACACCACTTATTGTTTATGTACGATTTTGAACTGAATGTAATCCCTAGCATATATCGAAACCTTCGCTGAACGATAAACCTGTATATTCGATTCATAGAGAAGAAATATCAGCAATAGGGGTGCAAATAACTAAAAAGGAGATGGTGCGCAATATTACATTGTGCCCAGCGGCAAAGAGTCCGAGACCTTGGGAGCCAGTCGCAGGATCCTGGGATAAGCACTAGCACCAAATCAGCATTTTTGCGGTCCTCGTGACATGAGTAGGTCCGCTCATGGACTTCATGTTAGTTCTCTTTTGAGGGAGCCATCATTACAGGGAAACACATCGGAAACTTCATAGGTTAGGCTTGAAGTTTCTAATGGCAATTCAAATTGTTATGAGCCTTTCCGCAAGACTTGACATATTGAGCTGAAAAATAGACATTGTCAGGGATAGTTATTATAGTGACTACTTCGGCTGCTATGAGGGTCGAGTGATTGGCTCGGTATGTCCGCAATTATGTACCGCTATCCACGCAGTGAGCCCACCAGTCTTCCCGGACATGGTGCAAAATTGATGCTTGTCAATAGAGTACTTGTGGGGGCTGTGTTGCTATATAATATGCATAATTTACCAATCGAGAAACGCCATACCATGTTTCGTCTCGAAGGCTGTTTGGAGAATTCCAATTTGCCGAGACGGAGATCCCGAACTACAGAATTGCGGTATAAGAATAGCTATATCGTTACTAGTTAAGCATCGACTTCTATCCTCTCACATGTTCCACGAGGTCTCAAACTATCTGGAACAACCCAGCAATCGTCACAATGTCATATTCTCCACCTTCTAATATACAAACACTTTGGATCTCCAATTGAAACGCCTTTAACGATGCAATGCAGCCAGCTTCCATTGTAGACACGACTGAACGAGTCAGTATATCAAGTGCTGATCAGATCCCTCGGACCGTGTCGTCGTGCCTTGCCTAGTAAAATCATGACTCTATTGATGCTTTATCCAATATATATCAACCGATACGTCAAGAGACAGAGCCTCTATTAGCATTTCGTACGAAAGCCGGCGATCAATTTCATCTGTAGTGATAGTAGTGATAAAAGTGATGACATCGTCCACTCCATCCATGATTAATTCCGGTGGCTGGCCTAGTGGTTTATGAGTTTTAGGACCACCTCGTAAGATCGTCTATGTACTTTGTTCAGGGTAACTCCAAGATACTCCGCAACCCTCCGTTATCCAATCCCAATCAAGTTGCACACGGAGGGCATAATCTCGATCAATCCAGCTCTTGGTATTCAATTTTCGGCTAAAATCAACTGTCGGAAAGCTATTAGGTGGCTCATCGGGATCGCTTTGGGGAAGGGCTCGGGATGCGCCCAGGTTTCGGATTGTTCGGTTCCATAGTCGATTGAATACATAGGACTAAATTCAATTATTGTTGAATTATAAAGATCCCTACAGCGCTATTTTATAGGTAGATAAATCCTACTAGGTAACAATGTTGTGCCAGCGAAGAAGTCGAGTATCCTCAAGTATTTGAGACATTAATGTCATTGGGTGTTGCCCAAGACGAGTTCATACGGAACCCAGGATCGTTTCTATAACAGACGGCTTCCCGCCATTCCAGTCCCCAAAGCATCAATCCCATCAACAAGACTCCTTCCTTCTCAGATACTCAGTCCAGACTTTTTACCATTTCGAGCTTCTTTGCAAGATCACTATAACAAGCCCCTCGTCATGCAAATCATCAAAGTTACCCTATTCCTCTGCGCTGCAATGGGCACAGTAGCCACCCCCATTGATTCTGTATCAGACGGCCTCGATGCTAGAGCTGAATCCAGCGCCCTGCGCGACTACAACGGAGTGAGTAAACATAAACATTCCATAACTTAGGTACTCACGTTTGAATTGCCACTAACCACTCGGAACAACCAACTAGGTATGCTTCAGAGCCAAGAACGAATGCAGATACAAGAATGATCGCGAAAAGACCAGCTACGTCAAGTGCTCTTCGACCATCGCGAATAACAGGGTAAGTTCTCATTAATTCCTAAGTAGCCGGGAAATCCGTAGTTGTAGTGGCCTCAGGGACCACACCTCAGTAACTAGAACTCCCATGGGAATTAACTCCCTCTTCTCGTCTGGACTCTACATTGTAGTGCGCAACAGTATTGAAGTAGTACTGAAAGAACGAATTGTAAAGCTGCTCAATCTCTCCGTACTTGGAATAGCAGATATTACTGAATTTCATTCCCACCTTAATCGTTGAATTTGTACTCCGTAATGGAAACAGAAATACTGACAACAACACCGAATTCCTTGGGTTAAAAATGAGCCAGAGTTGGACAGCCGTTTCGACTAGCTTCATGCTTAGTGACGTATGAATCCTTCCATTCAATAGACCCTGTTAGTACCTTTTACAGCCCACTTCTGATCTCATTTTTGAGTTATACGCCTTCGTGCATTCTTAGTGCCTTTTTGGAAAGTACTGTTTCCTAATCCTGAGTTGAATCAGATATACACTGGTTTCTCTATTCATTACGTTTCAATGGACTCCTATAGGACTGTTGGATACTTTTTGTATGTTTCTACATATACCTATGAAGTTCAGCAATATAATAAAAAAATACCATTGAGCTTACTATACCTGTATCAAAGCTACGGAGTGGATCCAGGGAGGCAGGGACTCGGGTGATCGACAACATACGATGGCCCTACAACGCATGTGGAGCACCTGGGCAGTTAGCCTTACAAATGTGGAATATAGAAAGAAAATCCAGTTATTGCTTGTAATTACTATCCTGCTGCCTAGAGATGACTTGAAAATGAATTAGTGCCGCCCCTTGAACCTTCTAGTGAATACTCCGGAGTCCGGACAGAGCTTTAAAACCCTGTAAGTTCTATCACACAGGTGCTCCCTTATCTAACTCTTCATTTCTACACCCGACTGATCTATCAAAATACAATTACCGTTTCAAGATGCATCGCCTCCGCGACTCCCTGCTTAGCCCGTCGCCAAAAGGCTTCCCCGACATCGGCGAGTTAGATAGCATCTCTTATGATCGGCTGAATGTGCGGCAAAGCCTCGCTCGGGGCGAAATTCAAGAGATGCGCGGAACAGCCCGTTTCAATCGAACCTGGTTTGTCACCTCCAGATACTGCCAAGTTGGAGATGGGGTGGATTCCCTCGAACTCTACGTTCGTCATATATGGTATATGTACTACCAGCTCAGTCTATATACATCGCATGAGACCCCCAAACACGACCGTCTGGTCCTCGATATCCTCCGGATTCAAGGAAAGGGACCGTTGACCAGGCCTGTGAAGGGGGTCTACGGAATCGATATCGCCCGGATGACCGAAGGCACGCTGTGGAATGACCTACCGCTCTTAGTCAGTGATATGACTGACTTCTGGATCAACGACTGCGGAGCAATGTCGGGCATCCATCGCCTCAATTTTTCTTCTTTCTTGGCCAAGCTGGCGTCTACTCGCGTCTGTAAGGATAGAATGTGCCAGGTTGCCCTTGTCCTGTTTCGGCGCACGTTTGAGGAGAGACAGGTGCTTCGCAGCTCTGGTGATCCCAGTGATCCTGGTGATGAGGATCCGCACCGGAGCATGGATTCACTGGAGATTAGGCATTTGTTGCCGTCTGACACTGCGTGGCTCAAGGAGGCAGATTGCAATCTCCTGCAACTCTCGGAGGTCTCGTGGAATGATTGTCCCAGCACGATTGGTCAGGGTGGCCGCTGTTTCATCGAGTCAGAATTTGGGAAGCGGTCACCGACTAGATTCACGCCATGGAGATGGTTGTTCTGGCTCAAGCGACTCCGCGAAATTCAGGAGGCGGCAAAAGAGGCCAACGAGAAAACTCTGGAGGAATCTGCTACCGATGCCATCCAAGCTATGGTCAGGGTCGCGGAGGAACAAAACTCTGACATTCTGAGAGTTTACCAAACTGCCGGGGATCTCATTTATGAAGATGAACATTTCCTGCCACTGCAAAAGATTGTGGAGGGGAAAGACCCCTGGCGCGAGGAAACCGAAGACGGGGAAGAGACCGAAGATCACGAGCAGGGAGAAGACGGCGAGGAGAGCAAAAAGCCGGAAGAGAGTAAAAAGGAAAAGGAGAACGAGAATGACAATTAAATGATGCTCTTGCCTCTTTATTTGTGTTTATAGACTTCAGTCTGCTTTTACTTCCGACCTTGTGAAATTGAATCAGCCTCCTCGGCCATTTGTATTAAAACTAAACAGCCGATAGAAAGGGACCTAGTAATCTGTGAGCGCAGCGAGCTATCATTAGGACGGGTCTTTGATGTTCAGCCAACAACTGCGCATTGATTAAGATGAATTCCAGAACAATTGGAGTGGTACAATGAACGTGACTTACGAGGAGATTGGCATCGTAGGCGAGTGGGAAAACCGAACCCTGTCGTCACTATTTCAAGTCCATTCACACGGATCTGACAAATTCGACCACCACAACCCGCGGGCCGTATCAACACCGGACTTCTCAATCAACATTTTACAGAAACCAAACGACACAAAGAAGCGAAATGCTACGAGTTCAAAGAAGCGCGAAAAATGGATATCATCCATATCGCTTCATATCACCGACGGGAATTCGATCTAACGGTTCTTAAGGCAAGGTGCCGTAGCCAAAGCAAGGCGTTCGCAGACATGCGCATGTGGCTGCTTCGAACCATCCATGCTACTTCCTCAACGCTGGGAAGTCTTCAGCTCCTGCCACTTGAGGTTTTGTATGATATATGCTCCCGACTTGATATCCGGTCTCTGTTCAATTTTCGCCATGTCAATCGCCGTGCGCTGCAGATCGTCAAGACAATACCTGGCTACGAAGAGGCAATTTTATATGCTCTTGATTCCCTCTGCGTTATACTGAGAACCAAAATTGCGTCTTGGTTCACGATCTCGGACTTGTTCGAAGTCCTTTGTACAAGGGACTGTTATGTCTGTGACTCCTTTGGTGGCTTTATTTTTCTCCCATCGTTTATGAGGTGCTGTTTCAATTGCATTAGTCTCGGTCGTCTTCCCTCTGTCTCAACGGTTCCTGTTATGAAAAAACGCTTCAAGTTGAAAAAAGGCCTATACAGCTTGGTGCCTACAGTGACGTCATTTCCTGGAATATATTCGATGTTCGGGATTTTGCGAAAGGCGAAGATGCAAATTATGCCAACAGACTTTGTTGGCAGATTGTCGTCAGGCAAAGGAAAGGACAAGACGGGAGTGCCGCGGTCAAATGAAGTGTCAATACTAGGCTATATGGTGACTACTTCATTACCCTATCTCGATGTTGAGAGCGGTGTCATCCAGAATGGAAGATGCTGCAGTGGTTGCCAGATTTCTGCAGAGAATTCTCACTGGTTAAGGTCATCAAAAGTTGCACCAATGGATCATTCGACTTTGCTAGACGCGGTGTACTCCTATGATGAATTCATAGAACACTTCCGGGAATGCGAAAATGCTCAAAGTCTATGGGAATTGAGTAAGAAAGGAGTTGATGTGTCTGAGCTTTCGAAATTCGTCCAGTATGGAGGTGGTTATATTAATTTTTCTTCCAACTGCAAATAGACCGCGAGCTTCGATAGCTCGAAGGAAAAGAGAAGATGGCGGTGGATAGTTAGGTGCGGCTGAAATTGTTAGTCATGTGATCATGTTTGTGCAGAACTCTGCCTTTTCCTCTCTACTATTCTTCTCCTAGTCTCGTCATAATCAATACAGTTATACTGCTCTTGTTCTTCTAGATTTACGTTCTCATAGACTCTTCGTCCCCACATCCAGACCCACTTGAGCGGCACAATCCAGATCACGTGCCCGAAGATCATCGAACCCACACACTTTCTTCTACTACACTCATCTCTCGCATCACCCAATAGCCAACTATAACCCGATTCCTTCCTGTCAACACACACGAAAATGTTACGACGCCCACGTGAAGCCCAGCCTGACGCCATAACCTCCGAAATTGGAGCGATCCTTGCACCCCTGGATATCTTTCCATGGGGACCGCTTGCAATGAACTACCTTGGCGTTCCGATTGTACTAGGAGTAAGTTGCCTTATCACTGGTCTGCGATTCAATCACCCGTTAATGAACCCCTGCAGACAGCTATGATTGCCGTACACGATAAGGACTATCAGACAGCATGCCAGAAGCTACAACAGTCCGAATTCCATAAAACAGTCCCTGACCGCAGACCTGCCCCCGAGCTACTGGCTCGCCTCCCGGATCCAGATAAGGTCATGAGAAAGGTTAATAAAAAATACGAACGTCTGGATAAATCAACCACTATCTTCGACTATCCAGCCAACCACCACCTAGCCGGGGGTCTCAAGTTGATTGTGGTCCCGAATTCTTTTGCAAATCTTCCCATACAGGATGCGGCTAGCGACGTCCCTACAAAAAAATACGAAGTCTATCGCAATATATTTCATCCGCTTGAAGAGGCGTTGATTGAGAGTATGGCTAAAGGTGTTCTCATTGATGAGGATGACCAAAATGCTCCTACTTCGATTTGGGGAGATACATTAAGTACTTGGATTGCGATGATGGTGTCATACCTTGAGATAAATAATGATATTCTTGATAGCTGTCCCGATAAGCGAGCCGTGCAATGGTTCAGTGGGCGCTATGGTCGAATACACGAGGAAGAGTTCGGCCCCTGGGACAGACGTATCTCAAAGCGACTGGGCTCTGGGAGAGAAATTCCCGTGGATATGAGGGGCAACCTGCTGGCTGAATGAGATATACACGATTAGACTTCTTATTTATAATACGCGGTGGGTAAAAATAATTCATTTATATCGATACACTTTTGAAAGCTTTTTAAAAATTGACCAATGACCTTATTTTGTCGATCTACTAAATTACTCCCATGATGCATACAGGTTAATGAAACTACATGGAGGGCGGATATTCAAGTAGCACAGATATTCGCCGCAAAAGAAATCCCCAAGCGCAGCCTCAAAATCCTATGGCTAGCAATATCGCTGGAGTGTGCCGTCAGAATTAGAGCGGGCGAAAACAACGAAGGAGACGAAGCATCATCTAGACAAAGGAATTTTGTTTTATTAGTAACTTGTCCGAGGAGAACGAAATGCTAGAATCTTACCAATTTCCCAAGATAGCCTGGCATTTGATAACCTCTTCCAGGTCACTTCGCAGTTTGGGCTTTCTCTGCAAAAAGGTAGCCAACGCATCTTGAAGTTCCTGATCATGGTCGAAGTCGAGCTCAGGTTTCCCAGGAATCGCGTAGCTCAGGAGGTTCTCCACATCTTGTAGATCAACTGCCTGTTTAGCACCCTGGCGTTGATATTGTGAGAGGATCTTCTCCCGGATAATCCATTCAGCACTGAAAATCTTAACCGGGTATCCATTGATGTTCTGTGTCACTCGGGTCGCGGACTGAAGGTCGTACTGAGGTCGGTTGGGCCAGCTAGCATAATCGAATATCTCGAGCTCTATAAGACGTACCACATCTCCAGGTAATTGGAGTTTGAATCCTGGGATGGTATGCCCGAACTGATTGATCGGGCCAAAGTCAGAGGGGAAAGATTTCAAGAGTATGCCGGTAAGGAGGTCTGCGGTAATAGATCGGTGATCGACCTGGATCACCATATCGATATCCTCCGTGGCTCTCTGTGGATCCGGTGCCATGAGGCATACACCAGCACCACCCATGATAGCATAGTCAATCTCTAGCGAGTCTAGCCGTTGCGCAACAGTTGAGGCGACATACTCTAGCTGTATCTGCAGAAGGACGGGCATATCGAAAGTTTTCTCTAATGTTATAGTGGTCAGATTTCTTGTCCCTTTTGTGTCCAGAGTAACTGCGGGACAAAGGTTGTATGAGAAAAGAAACTGATTTAATGAGATACGAACAGAGAGGAAGAGCAGGAGAGCAAACCCGGTGAACAGCAGGCAGAAAGGCTGCCCCGCACTCTATCAGTACCTTAGAGCCTCCTAGTCTAGGCAGGTCATCAGGTGTAGAGTAGATATATGCACTTTAGACACATGTACTTAAGGTATTCGCGTGACAGGGCCTATATAGAGACTTCCTGTATCGGTAATTCTTATATAATGGGAGTCAAAGACCTTCCAAGGTTTATTTCGTAATCTCCCCTATTACCAATCAATCTCTCGATCCGTGGGTTACCAAATTAACCGTGAAACATGCATGCCCAGCTGTATCTGTCACTTTGGATGTCTTTTCAATGTCTAATTCCCTTCTTGGCCCTATCAGTTAATCTAGATTAAGCCAAGACCCCCAAAGAAAAATGAAGGTTTTCTTCCGATCCACTTCGACCCGTTAAGGTCCCGGCTGTCACGATTGGCACTTGTAGAACTCGTACCTTCCCGTTTGGGATCGTACCGTTGGTCGTTCCTTCTCGTTTGCGCAGGCAATCGTACCTTCCTTCTGGGTTAAGCGAGGATAGGGCTTTGCCCCCGAAGGGGTATAAAGACCCATTTGTTGTTTTACGTTTGTTTTCTTTTCTTTTCTTTCTTCATACTTGATATTCGTTTAGCAATGCACTTCTTCCATTAAAAGAACCTGGCACGTAACACCGGCGCTATCTGGTCAATTAGTCCACTACCGGTTGCGCGGAGTTGGTCCATTACTTCTTCTTGCAGTAAACACGGGTGCAAATTCTTCGAGAGGCTAGGTAGGAGACATGCTACCAGAAATGTAGCAGTAAGCTCATTGGGGGGAAGTAAGTTGATGATATTGTGAGCCACCTTGGCGGGGCTACTAACTAAGCTAGTATGACTAAGCTAGCTGTGACAATCATGCCTGGCACACAAAGCTCAGGATTGAATGAAAAACGAATGAAAAATCAACGCAAAGAAAAACAAGGAAAATAAAAATGCATAAACCACCGTCACGAACGGTTTGGAGAGGAACGACCGCATGCCTTGATAGATAACGAGAAGGAAAAATGCTTCGAGACGAAATGGAAACACGTATCGAGGCACGGCCTGTCAGTTGTCGTAGGGCTCGGGCGGAGTGTAGGTATCCGAGGGCGTGATTTCACGCCCGGGGTCGTACGGGAGACCCTCAGCGCTCGGAGTCGCTTGGCGGCGGTTGACATGTTCATCTTCATCGTCGTCTAGCAGTAGAGGGTTTTCTGGTGCGGCGCCTTGAGCCCTTGCCGCGTGCTGATAGTCCCTTCTTTGGGCTCATACACATCGTTGTACACGACCATAGGAGAGTATTGAAGAGTCCAAACTCCTTTGATGGCAAACCTTCTGATATGTTGACAGAAATGTTACGCGCCAGTTCCCTTAGACAAAAGAGTGCCTTAACATGGGGAAAGGAAAAAGAAAGGGAACTTAGGACTGCGGTGGGACCTTTATACCCTCGCCGGCCTTGGGAAGGAACGACTTCCCCCGGAAAGGAAAGAACGAGTCTCGATCGTAACATAACCCCCGGGCAAAAGTGCGTTCAGTCCCTGAACGCCGGTTTTTCGTCATCCCGTGTCGCGTCGATACATTCCCTTCGAAGAGTAGGTATCATGGAACTCTTTGGTCATGTCCGGGCACTCTTGAACTTACTCGCTGGATACCACGTAGGGTCCAGATCGTGTCCGATCCACTGCACACGATATTGTAGTTTCCGGTAGTGCTTTCTCGCGTCTAGGATCTTCTCGACCTCCCATTCATCGGTCTCACTGACTCTTATCGGTGGTGGCGGGTCTGTATGCTGTCCCGTGAGTGGCTCCGTACTTGCTGCCTTCCGTAACTTGCTTGGATTGAAAACCGGGTGGACGTTGATCGAAGGCAGTTCTAATATTTAGATCTCGTATGTAACGAGAAACTTGACCTATAGGGTAGTAGAACTATTAGTACATTAATAAATTGCAAGCATAGTACATATAATACATACCTCAAGTTATCTGCACTCTGGCCCCTGAAGCTCACATCAAGGGTTAGCCGGCTCCAAGGGGGGTTTAGAAAGCAGGATGCGGCAACCACATCACTTTCAAAGTCGGGCCATGGCATTAATCTGCCAATAAAAGCCACCATCTGGGTTGTACTGCCAATTTCGTGGGTTGAAGTTACTTGGAGAGGTGGCAAAGGTTCTAGCAGCATTTCTCGGGCTGCTAGACGGATGATGCGAAGCATTTCTTTTTGAGGTCGAGTTTGTTAGTCAATGAACGTGATAATCTCTTCGGACTGTAGGCTCTCACAGGATTTGAAGTGATGGAAGGTACATGGGGAAGAATGGGATGATAGCGAAGATTCTCACCCCATGCTCAGTGATCATCACAGGATGTTGAGCTAGCTCATGCTAAAACCGATCACTTGATATGTACCTCTGAAGATATAGCGGTGGTTTTCTGGAGAAGATATGGAGACAGGAGGAGATGAAGAAAGGAAGAGAGAGGAGTAAGCCTGAGGAGCAGGAGCCCTATCCGCCTTAGCCAGGAAGTCTGCGTCTGTGATATGCCAGGTCTATTCAATGAAGAAAGAGTGCATATACTCAAAATAACCAAGATAGCAAGAGAGAAGAAGAAGCAAGTGAAGAAGTAGGCAGTGGCTTGCTTATAGAACCGGCAAAGCTTGCAACCTCTCACTTAGCTACCTAGTAAGTAAATCATCTATGAAGGCAAACAATCAAGGTTTTCTTCTGATCCACTTCGGTTCGCCTAGAAGAACTATGTCGATCTGGACGCTACTCCATCTGTCAAGGTGGGGACAAGCGGTTGGAGGGGATCTGAGCAGAAGATGAGTACAATATGCCTGAATGACAGCGTTAATTAAAAGTTTAAGATAAGACGATTGGATTGCCGTGGAAGGGGCGCGGTCCTAAAAAGGAATCAAGACATGAGGGTCAAGGCAAACACACAGGCCAATCACCAACTATACTTGGTCAACTAATCAATTAGAATTCGCTCTAGTACAAGGGTGTGATAAGGTTAAAATTGAAAGAAAGAGGCGTCCAGATCCAGCTCAGCTCACATAAACTTTACCGTGTCCCTACGCCTGACTATTTTCTACCTAGTAATACGACTTATACGAAGCAGGTTTTCATAAGAAGCGCAGACTGGAGAATAGGTTGGACATTTTATCTAGTTTTGGAAATGTCCCGTTTTATTGTGAAAAGAACAGCTATGTACACTCAATAGAAAGAAGTTTGTCAGTGCCGTAAAGATATATAATTCACGGTATCAAAATTGAAGTAAAAGAGAAGTGGTGTATGCAATTATTGTGCTCCATGTCACTGGACCCATCTCCTTGAAGATTCAGCTGAAGATTTTGTTATGGCTCAGCGGAGAAATGGCTGTCTGTACTCCGTATTCTCTGCCACAATTATCACGTGTTTCATATCCTCCCACCTGCGTTGTCGTATATTGCATAATATCTGTTCTTTCTATTGGCTATAAGCAACAGCTATCTATTTGCACGAGTAATGAGCAGCTTGTTTTTTTATCACTAGCCGGCTTGAAACGCACGTCCTTCCGCGGAGGAATGGGAACCCACATCCTTCGATTCTCGCCCAACTTCAAGACTGTATTTATAGTGATGACCCGGCTAGTCCTTATTATTGCGTTGTCTCAGCGATCCTTGCGGATCCTTGCGGTAATCCCTGACTGGTGGAAGACCTACCACTGGATACTAGCATGGAGATCTAATTTATCTCCTGCTTCCTATGGACTGATCTGCACGGGGCGGGAAAAAGCATCCGACTAAGCCCGCGATCCACCTTTCCATGTACGGATGTGTGTGCATGGACGAATACAAAGAGTGCCCCACACCGTGATGATCCATCTGGTGGGGAATTTCGATCAAGCGGAGTCGCTTTCGACCGATGGGAGCTGAGTTTTCTCAGCCAGGATTCATCCGTCGTCTATGGCTTGGCTTCTCCCGAGAAGCCGTTGGTTCTGCGCATGCGAACTAGCCCATAATGTGACCTATCAGACTGCGGAAAACAATGAGGGAATTTTCAGCTGCATGCTCGAAACCAGATTAACGTCATACCTAGACAAAGAAAGCATCTTGGCTGCTAGCAAGTTTCAGACACGGTCCGTGTTTTCCTGTTGTCCGTGCTTGACCGGGTGGGATATATAAACTGCGTCCGTAGTCCGGTGTTAGACAGTATTCAAATATCTTCGAAATTCAAAATGGCTACATGCGATTATACCTTCACACAGCAGCATGGGATTGTTCCTACTGATCGGATTCCTACTGGTCGGATTGACCTTCCAATCAATCCAGCCGGCCATATACCCAATTATAAGCGTCTCAACGACCAGCCTGTGATCAAGTCATGCGAAATCCCTCTAGGAATACGCGGTGTATCCCTCCAGGTTAGCTCAACATCACCCTTTTCGTGAATCACCGACTAAGCAAGTTGAATTTAGCTCAAGATCCCTCATTACGACATAGTCTCTATCGATGCACCCCCCACATCGGCTGTCCTTTATTCACACGCTGATTTCAAAGCGACCATCCAGCCGGAGAAAGCCGGAGATACTAAGGACTTCTATGAGAGATGCTTTGCAGAAACAGCTGCCATTAACCTGTTTTTCCCGGATGTACGATCGGAGAACATCCGCATATGCATGACTGCGTGGCTGGCTGCAAACTGCGCGGCGGATGACACACTTGAGGCTATGCCACCAGCTGCGGCCACGCTTGCTTTGGAAGAGACCATATCGAAGCTCCAGGGAAAGAAGGCAGACGGTACGTAAATCAGGATCAGCTGCGGATAATCTCCCAGTACTGGGTTAATCCATATAATAGTCTCCCCGACAAACAAAGTCGCGTCGATTCTTTGCTTCTTTCAAGAATATTGCATCCAGAAGCTTGACCTCAGCAAAAGCACCGCCCGCGAGCTCAGCAATGATATATGCGATATGTGCGAGGGCTTACTTGACGAGCTCCGATTTCGACAGGGCATTCTGCCTGGGAACTTGGAAACTTATCTGCAATTCCGCGGTAAAACAATGGGTATCCATCCATTTTTAACTCTGATCCGCACACTGCACAGACCAATCGAGGACGAATATATCTCCAGCCTCCGAGATCTCCAGAAGCGAGTTAGTTTGGTGCTCGGACTGCAAAACGACCTTGTTGGCCTGGAGAAAGATCGTCGGAATGGCGAGACCATGAATGCAGTCTTGGTATCCTTGAAGGAACAAGCGGGGACGGATGTGGATCACATGAATGACATATTGCCGAGAACGATCGATGAGGTGTGCAGTATCCACAATCGTTGTCTTTCGGCTGCGGTGGAGATATACGAAGGACTCCACGTTTCATTGAATGGGGATTCCCATGACCCGATTCTGGAGACTGCAGTCCTGGCCTTTGCAGAAACCCATCTGAAATGGTGCGCATCGTCCAAAAGATATCAGGCAAAGGTAGAATAGGTGATTTATTAGACTAGTAGTTAATTTCTGGGCTCAATAAGATGGCGTTAAGGTATACGATTGAGTTTGTCTCCACTTTGTCAGCCTGCAGGCGCCACAATGTGATAGGTGGAAGCACGTGCAGTGTAGCGTGATAGGGCTAAGCCGATTTTAGGCCGAGAGGCTAGAGCGATGTGGCAAGCCATATTTCAGCCCCATATACTTCGAAAAGCGGCGGTGAGGAATGCGATGAACTTGTGATTGGATAGCGGTGAGTTATGCATGTAAGATTGTGACGAGAACCGGTCGTGCATTGCATATTCGAAGGACTGCAGAATGGTGTATGGTTCACGCTACTGCAGACGTATTTCCAAGACTCGTCATTGGTTCAGATAGAGCTGTGAATGTGGAACTCGGCCCAGGTCTATCGGCAAGATACAAGCATATCGGCACAGTCTGAATACATGATCGGTTGGGTCCAGATCGGTTGGGTTCAGATCTTAGTTATCTAGGAAGCGAGGGCGAATCGGGGAAGACTGCCAAGCTCTGGGCGTTGTATAGCAAAGAAATTTTAAGTTAACTTGGGAATTGGGACACTCACACGGATGTTTTCTCCTTGGGTTCGAAGCCTGTTTCTCTTGATGTATGCGTCCAGTTCAGCGCCTATCTCGGCCCAATAAAACACGCTCCCTCCTTGGCAATCTTGCCACTATCTGTCTCTCTCACCAGCTTCGTTCAGGTCATGGCTTTTGCTTCCCTTCCATTATCACGCCCGAGCATCCATGGAGATTCCTATGCAGATTTTATATTTGGCCTAGCACTAACCTTTGTCAACATTCAATATATTGCCG